CAAAGGTGATTAAAAATTGTCTTTTTTTTTTTTTTGAGACAGTCTCACTTTGTTGCCCAGGCTAGAGTGAGTGCCGTGGCATCAGCCTGGCTCACAGCAACCTCAAACTCCTGGGCTCAGCCAATCCTCCTGCCTCAGCCTCCGGAGTAGCTGGGATTACAGGCATGCACCACCATGCCCGGCTAATTTTTTTCTATATATATTAGTTGGCCAATTAATTTATTTCTATTTATAGTAGAGACAGGGTCTCACTCTTGCTCAGGCCGGTTTCGAACTCCTGACCTCGAGCAATCCGCCCGACTCGGCCTCCCAGAGTGCTAGGATTACAGGGGTGCCCGGCCTAAGTATTTTATGCCTCTGAGACAGAACTGCTAGAACAGAGTTTTGATAATCTGTTTGAAAAGGAAGAGCTCAGATGTGGTTTTACTTGCATTTTCAGTCAGAACTCTACATATGCCAGCTAGATTACAGATGGCTAGTATAATTTGTTTTTTCATTACTGGAAGAAGAAATTTAGAGCTTGGTGCTTTCTATTAAAAGAATAAAATGTTATCTCAAGGTACAACTATAAGAAAATACTTTGGATCTGAAATATTGCTTCATCTAGGCTTCATTTTAAGGATCCTAACTCAAACTTAGTGAAAAAGCAACTGAGATCTATTAAACAATAGATATTGACTTGATTTGCAGTGTAGGTACAAATTCATTTGGCATACTTCATCATGATACCTGACATCCACATGGTCTAATTCATGCTCTGGCCAAATGGAAGTGGGGGGATCTCCTCTTTTTTGTGCTGGCATTAGCACCCTACTAAAAGCTGGGAGGTACAGCTATTCTTTGAAATGTTTCACAGATCATCTTTTAGCGATCCATTCACCAATACTGCACACCATATGATTTCAGGTATATAGTATATAAGGTTAAAGGACAAGAGCACATTTAATCAGTAGTATTCTTAAAAGTGAATCACATAATTGTTGCAAATTTGCAGTAAACTTTCATTTTAGGATTTTCTTTTAGAATGTAGAGAATCTTCTACAGAAAAGACTATATGAGGACAGTAGAATTGAAATTAAACCTCATGAGGAAATTTAGCCTTCCCACCATATTAATCAAGGCCTCAAATGTTTGTGGGAATGTAAAATGGTTTTAACTTTCTAGAGTGTGGCTTGTTATCACATATTCTCTTGCTATTCTAGCAGTTCTACTTCTAGAAATTTGTCCTAAGGAAATGTTTGTACGGATGTATAAAGGAAGGTGTAAGTATAGCATTGCACATATTATTGAAAATGAGAAATAATCTGAACAGCCACCTGCGGAAGATTGATTTAAATTATAGAAGATCCAGATACAATACTGCAACATCATTTAAGAGAAAGAAGTAGATTTGTGCATAGTCATAGGAAGATATCAAAAACTTACTGCTAAGCTTTTTAAAAGGAGGTTACATAGAAAAGATAAAAAGGGTTATCACTTTTATCTTTGAGGTATCTTTGGCAGGGGTGAAAGTTACATGAGAATTTTACTTCTAGTTTTTATGTTTTGGTAGTGATTGCGTATTTTTACAAGCATTTGTTATTTTTGTAAGTTAAATATAAGTGTTGGTACAACCATTGGTGGGAGAGGGGACTCTGCTGCTTATCAGAATTAAGCATTAAATGCCTTTATTGCTGTATATGTAGCCACATAGTTCACATGCATGCGATCACAGAACATGTATCATCAGGTTCTTTTTTTTTTTTTTTTTTGAGACAGAGTCTCACTCTGTTGCCCAGGCTAGAGTGAGTGCCATGGCGTCAGCCTCGCTCACAGCAACCTCAAACTCCTGGGCTCAAGCGCTGCCTTCCTGCTCAGCCTCCCAAGTAGCGGACCAGCATGCGCCACCCGGTAGGCGGGATGGCTAATTTTCTACATATATTAGTTGGCCAATTAATTCTTCTATTTAGTAGAACGGGTCTCGCTTTTCTGAAACCATTCAATATAAGCGTTGTCTAAACAATGAAGGGATTTATAAAAGACCTTTTCTGATAAGAACTCTTCACTGGTAAATTCTGGGCTGGATGAGGTTTTCTTTCTTGGGAAGGTGTTATTTTCCTTTCAGAATTTGACACATTAATTGTGGAGCTCAGCTTAAGATTTTATTTTTTTTCCCTTCTCATGGTTTGAAAATAAATACTTGCACATAGGCAAATCTAAACAGTAGTGTATCTTCATGTTGTGAATGAATGAATGAATGAAATGATGAAAGAAAAAGTGGCAAATCTACATAGTATTAATACCAAGAGAGCCAGGAATTTTCATCTGACTTGCCAAAGCACCTAAAATAAATTTTAATTCAGATTGTTGCTATCATAAAGTAAATAGATAATCTTTAATAAATAGAGCATATACATTAAAATTTTGATTTCTTTCATCTGAACTGTACTACAATGTGTTGACTTCTTACAAGTAATCTTTTTGTAGCTGTTCTCTTCTATAAATTAATGATTATTAGACTCTAAACCCTAAAACTACTTTTTTAATAGGAGAATTTGCCCCAAATATAAAAATATAAATGCAGGTATTAATTGCCTCATAAAGTACACAACCCATTCATCTAGAATAAGTAAAAGTGCTTCCTGTTTCAAGGTTGAAAATGAAAAGGTCTGAATTCACAGGGAGGCAAGTGTAGAGCTCTGAGAGGTTCTTTTCCTCCCGGTATGGTGAGACTCTCTAAAGCGAGCTCTGGGCCTCAGAACACAGTAGATGGAACCTCCAAAAGACAGCTCAGTCCACCAATTCTTGGTGATATCATCTTATTGGAAGCCTGAAATCTTCCTGATCTTGTTAAGGATACAAAGAACAGTGGTTCATTATTTAGTTAGTAAGAAATTCCTTTATCAGCTAAATGGGTTATAAATGAAATCTATTGTTTCCTTCCCTGTCAGTTTTAAATAATTTAAGACATAGTATATTAGTCTCTTATTATGAATTATGTCTCTCCCCTCTCCCGCTCCGGTAATCACCGTTACAGATATCTGACTTGTCTCTGTGCGTATTCACGTATCAATGAAATTTTCATGCATAAGAAACTTCTTACAGAAGCCAAAGTAAGATTTTGAGTGGCTTTTTTACCCCCCTGCCGTGTGCCTAGTAACTTAGAACCATCTTTATCAAGAATTGATTTATTGTGCCCAAGCAGTAACCCCTAGTAGTATTAAATAGGCCAAAGGACTCAGGAAATATGCGTGTAGGAGAAGATCGATGAAGAAAGGGAAATTATCTTGGCTTTAAGTTACTTAAATCCTGATGGTTCTTTAGTCTCTCACATTTACTCTAATTAGTCCTTTCTTTATACTTTCTCTCAGTTCTGAACTCCTAAGTCCTTTGCCTGCATTTATTGCTCGATTGTAAGGCTAACTTATATTGTCCCAATTACATGAACTTCTTCACCGTATTTCTGATTCTTCCTTAGAGTTCATCTCTTGATTTTCAAATAACTCCCTACTTGTTCTCTAATGCTGTCATTGTCTCTCACTTTTTTTTTATGTTCCCCTCCCATGATTTCTTTCACATTATGCTGCTGTAGCAATTAACAACACATGCTGTTCAAGCTTTGCGCAGTGGCATATCGTAGCCAATAGGTTTATCCAGGGCGCGATTAATGCTAATTGAAAACTTCCCAATACCCCATGACGACTTGCAATATATCGGCATTTGGCAATTTTTGACGGTCCCACGGGGACTGGATAAAAAAAAAAAAAAAACACATGCTGTTGGAGAAGAGTGAAAAGAAGTTTTAGCCACATTCAGGTTATTAGCAGCGGCTCCCAGAGAGCCATTTAAACTCTTATTTGCTGTGCATACTAGTCCATGTACACCTGTGAGTCAGCAGGGCAGGTGTCATTTTTAATAATATTTTTATTATAAAGATGAGAAAACTGAGACTTTGAGGCATTACGTAAAATTGCCTAAGCCAGTTGGCAACAGTGCCAGGATTCTTAGAAATTTGGAGCAGGAGGAAATGCAATGAAGATTTTACTTGGAGGAATTTAGGGTCATCTATGTAAAGTGATTTTTTCTGAGGTCCATCAAACTATTAATAATTAAATCGTAGGCTAGAACTCAAGTTTTCTGATTCCTAATGTAGTACCTTTTCTTAACATACATTTCTTCTGAGGTAAAAAGCTATATGTCTTGTACATCTGCAGTGTTTTTACTTGAGATATTTGCATTTGGGTTGGAGATGGAAGATAAGCATGTAATGCTGCTGCCACATGAGTTCTCAAAACAAGTTGGTCATGTAGATAAAATGCAGTCACGTGTTTATTGCATTTTGGAGTGTTCTGTGATTTAAAAATGGAGGGTAAAAATCATCATACCAAAATTTAAAAACCTTCCAATATTACTTCCCCTTTTATTATTTTGTAAAGTAATTTAAAAGAGAAACCAAAGAAGTAGAAGTATTTAAGAATAAATTCAATTTATATGTATAACAACATTTTGAGTAATCAGGTTCAGAAATTGAATCTTAAAATTACTGCCTTTTTTAACCCTTGTTGAGATTTTTTTTTTTTTCCCCCTGAAATTTTTTTTCTTAGCTGGGTTAAATTTATTCATTTATTGGCCTGGTAAAGATGTTTTTAGTGCTTCATATTCTGTATGTCTGTTAATTTTTATTATTTAGTAGAATAAATTTAAGAATAGTAGATGAGGCTAAAGATACTTATTTCAGAATATATCTCAGATGCTTTTGTTTTTTTAGTGAATCCTAGAGTTTCACTCAGTCACTCCAGCTAGAGTGCTACGGCATCATCATAGCTCACTGCAACCTCAAACTCTGGGCTCAAGGGATCCTCTTGCCTCAGCCTCCTAAATAGCTGGGACTATAGTCTAGCAGCACCACTCCTGGCTAAGTGTTCTATTTTTTATAGAGATGGGTCAGGTTTTGTTGCCTAGGCTGGTCTGGAACTCCTGGCCTCAAGCGATCCTACCACCTGGGCCTCCCAAAGTGCTAGAATTACAGACATGAGCCATGGCGCCTGGCCTAATTTCAAACATATATAAAATATACCTTTCTGGCCCTGAATTTGTAAGTGTACGTATTTGTCTTTTACTTTGAAATCTCCTAATTGAGTGATAGATTTCAGAGTCTCAAAAGGTTTTTTTATGAGTAAGGAAAATAAGTAAATAACGTACTGTTAGTATGCTTGGAGAAATATGTTTATAAAAGTAAAAATGCTCTTTTATTTAAAATTTAATGATGGTGATAGATATTGTAAAGCCAAAGCAATTAAAAGGAAAAGGACATTTTGAGAAAATGGCTTGTTCTTATGTAACTAAATATATACTGTTTACTTGTATTTTGTCAGATTCTGAAATTGAGGAAGAGAGATTTGGAGTTCTGATGATTTATGGAGAGAGTTAATCAGAGATTGCTCCTTGACTGAGCTGCTGTCTGCATAGGCTGTTAACAATTGTTTCTCTGGCAGCAGATCTTGTTCATCAGGATTGCATCATTTCTGGGAGAATGGCCAAGGTCCACAGCCTCAGCACAAAGACTGTCTGAAGCATATGAGGCCTGTTCTCTTTCTGAAGCGGCACTCCTCTTCCTGCCAGTCCTCTTCACAGGATTACTGAAGCAGACTTGTTCTGAATTTCTTTCATTGGATTGGCTATTTATTGGACTCTTGTCTCCCAGCTGCTTCCGGCTCACCTGTCTGATGCAATTTCTTCTTCTGAAATCTCTGTTGGAATTATTCTTAAAGCACTTTGTCTTCTCTGAGAGTGACCAGACAGATCTTACAGGTCTTGTGCTTTCAGCAAGTCATGTAGAGAAGAGACTGTCAGGATCATAATACAGAGACAATTGACCATTTCTGAACTGAATTAAAAAGATAGGATAAATAAAAAACATTTTTGGTATGTTCTATATAACATCCTCTTCCGTGGAAGCGGTATGTAAATAGCAACTCCTCAAAAGAGTGCTTGGTACCCTAAGACAGGCTGATTCTGTTTACAAATTGAAGAATTTACTAGTGTTCCTAGAGTCTGATGGATTGTTCTGGAAATAGTTAATAATAAGTAATTGAAATTCTAATGCATTCATTTTTCCCTACTGTGTACTCACATACTTATTTCTCCTTTTCCTCTTGTTCGTTCTTTTTGCTGTTGTTGCTTCTTGATTTACTTTATTCCTTCATTCCTTTTACTGTTACTTTCATACCTTTTGTTCTTACAATAATTTTGTGTATACTCTTCCAAATGTTTCTTAAGAATAGTTTATTTTGCAGTTTTTAAAAATTGGGAATCATAAAGCATCAACATAAATAAAGTATGTGGTCCTCTAATGCTTGGTAACTGGAATCCCATAAATGACTCTTCTCATGTTTATGATATATTAACTTTTTATGTGTTAATAACTCATTCTGACTAATGTTAAATTTGGCTTTTTTGGAGAAAACACTGAAAACTTAAAGAGAACTGATTATTTTTTCCCAAAAGTCCTGGGGCACCTATTCTATTTACTTTTTGGAGGATAGAAAATTAATTTTAAATCTTTTTGGCCTGGTGCAGTGGCTCACACCTATAATCCTTAGCACTCTGGGAGACTGAAGTGGGAGGATTGCTTCAGCTCAGGAATTTGAGACCAGCCTAAGCAAGAGTGAGACCCTGTCCCTACTAAAAATAGAGTATAGTAGTGTACCTGTTGCCTCAACTACTCAGGAGGCTGAGACAGGAGGATCGTATGAGCCTAGGAGTTTGAGGCTGAGCTATGATGGCATCATTGCACTCTACCCAGGGCAACAGAGTGAGACTTTGTCTTCCTCCAAAAAAAAAAACCTCTTTTTTTTTTTTTTTTTTAAACATGTTTCTATTAAGAAGTTGACCACAAGTAGAACTGGCTCTCTTTTATCATTCTTTTTCTATAGTAAGACAAGAGGACAGATAGCATGGAATGATTGGGAAGAAAGGAGTAATGTAGATGATGGTAGGCCCTTGTCTGACTGGAGAGTAAATTTGACATTTGTTTAAAGAAATGCCTCTGAATTTGGGAAGGGTTCAGTGGAAAAGAGAAGCACCTCACAAGAGAGGGAAAATTAGCCAATAACATAAGTAATTGCTACTTCTTAAGTCAAATAAAGATAATTTCCTTCCTTACCCTTTATTTACTTTCTGGCTTTACATGAAAATAGGATATAAAGATCAAAGGACAAAAGTTTAGTACTGGATGGAAGATAGGATGGTAAAAAAGGGACTATACAGAAATGAAACATAATTACCATTAATACATCTGTAGCATTCCGTTCTGTGTGTTCATCAATGTTATATCTTCTATACTAATTTGTATCTCAACTTTTTCTAGGTCTTCAGAGAACTGGCAGATAATTTGGGGGAACTTCATATTCAGAGGTCTATATAAAGGTGACTGACCCAAATAAATCCTTTTAATTTTCTTTTTTATTTTTTGCATTTTAATGAATACAGAAATCATATTGTGGTAGTGGTGATCATAATTTACTCAAGCAAGTATTTCTTGAACCTTTTCTATGTGAGACATGGTTCTGGCCATTGGAAATACAGCAGAGAATAGAACAGACAAAATTCCCTATCTTTATAGTTTGTATTCTGGTAGGAGAAAACAGACAAATTAACAAGTAAAATGTATCTTGAAATTGTTCCACCTAGAGACGGTTAATTCTCACCACGCTCTCCAGGACACTCTCCTAACTGTGATGAGTTAAAATAACTTGTATAACTATCAAGCTTGTTAAACTACCCTAGAGTTACCCTAGGAGTCTGTTGTCTTGGTTTATGAAACTAGAATATTATAATAACATGTTGAATATGGATGATCTGTTAAAGGTTCTTCAGTTAACATTTTTATAGCTGTGTGTAACATTTTACACCGAGTTATTTAGGGAAGGAGCTATTCTCAGGATTCTATGAGAAGTATAGATTTATTATCAGAATTTGAATTAAGCATCATTATTAGGAAGGCAGAATTTGAATGAGGTGGCAAAGCTAACCTATTATGATTGCTTTCAGACGAGTGGAAGAGTCATATAAAATTAGAAGGAAAATGGAAGAATTAATAAAAAAGAAATTCATATTTAACCACTTAATATTTCTTTTTTTTTTTTCTTTTTTTTTTTTTTTTTTTTAACCACTTAATATTTCTTTAAGTTATTTATCAAGTATCCAAAATAGCTAGCTTGGAACTTCTTTGAGGAATGTAGAAATCATTTATTCATTCATTAAGGAGATACTTATCTGAAGTAACTTTTTGATCTTTTCATTTAAAAATTGCTCTAGGAAAAACTATCAGCTTTTTTTTTAATGGGCATATAGTAGTAATGGCTGTAACAAAGGGTTTTTAATGGTGTTGAGTCACTTTTTTTGAAGTCTTTTACTGAAAATATAACCCATGATTCAGATTCATTTTACTATTCAGGGGTGGTAGGATCATTATGAGACTTCCTTCTGATTATCTTGTTAGACAGCTTCTGGGCTTTTTAAAAGAAAACGTGAATTATATGGTGATACTAAAATTAAAGAAAGAATTGTCGCCAGGAGTACCCAGTATTTAACTATGCCCTTTTGGGCTTACATGATAAGTGTTCTCTGTTTTATCATTTGCAGATGTTATTCCAATTTCCCAAATGCTTGAAAGATGTACTGCCAAAATCTCTGTTTGAATATATCATTAGGGAAAGGAAACGTTTGAGTGTAAGGCTGGCCCAAAGGCAGAAAGTTGTATCAGTCACTTCTGGTTTTATGAGCTGTGAGGAAGCAGTAGATAAGAAGATTGGGCCTCCTTTGTGTTTTAGTCTTCAGTCTAGCTATATGTCACCTCCAGTTGGGTAGGAACAGAGGCATTATCACACCCAGATTTGGAGAGTCCTGGGTCCATTGGTAAGATCTTGTTTTTAAGCCTAGAACCACAGTAAACCGCTTCACACAAAAATCGTATATTATCTTTATGCAATCTTCAAAATCTTTACCTAATTCACTATTTGCAATTAGTTTTCTAATCCACATGAATCTGCTTTTATATCAAAATAAGATTCAAGCATCTCAAGCCATGTACCATTTAAAATTTACATTAACCCCCTGATTGACTCAATCCAATATTGTGTTCTTTTCATTCCATTTAGTTTTTTTAGTATTAAGAATTGTTTGAGGCCGGGCGCTGTGGCTCACGCCTGTAATCCTAGCTCTTGGGAGGCCGAGGCGGGCAGATTGCTCAAGGTCAGGAGTTCAAAACCAGCCTGAGCAAGAGCGAGACCCCCTCTCTACTATAAATAGAAAGAAATCATTGGCCAACTGATATATTATTATATAAAAAATTAGCCGGGCATGGTGGCGCATGCCTGTAGTCCCAGCTACTTGGGAGGCTGAGGCAGAAGGATCACTCGAGCCCAGGAGTTTGAGGTTGCTGTGAGCTAGGCTGACGCCACGGCACTCACTCTAGCCTGGACAACAAAGCGAGACTCTGTCTCACAAAAAAAAAAAAAAAAAAAGAATTGTTTGATTTTTTTTTTTTTTTTTTTTTTTTTTTGAGGCAGGGGAACGCCTGCCACCCTACTGCTCCCCATTCTACTGTCTTACTTGTCTCGTTATAAATCAATATATCAATCATGACTCATTTGTAGGGTTTGTTTTTTTGCTTTTTGCAAAAATCTTTATTAACCTGGTCTTTGACATTCATGTTGACTTTATTCTCTCCCACATAAAGTGCTTCTGGTTTCATCCTTTTAAATATTTTTTACATTAATATGAAATCAGTAGTGTAAAATTATATATCATATGCCTTTTTCCCTTTGTAACATACCTCGAAATATCTGAATCCGCTTTTGCTTTTTTTTGTGACCCGTCAATGGTTTGTGAGTCTTTCTGTCCCCAAATTACACTGGTTTATGGTCACCAAGTTAAGTTATCCTCACTGCTTTTCCATACAAAATTCTCTAATCTTTGTCACAAAAGCGTTCTCTTTGTGATTCAGTGGTGTGTTTTATATGCATGGATTTGTTTTTAGAGCCGTGTTCGGTTCCCAGCAAAGTAGAGCCAAAGGTGCAGAGACTTCCTGCACGCCCACTGTACCCACACGTGCACAGTCTCTCTGTGGTGTATGTTTTTGGTCATATGTAGCAGTATGTATTACCTCACAAATACGATTGATTGTTAAGATAACTGTGTCTTCCCCTAAAATGATAGTTATGATAAAATTGTTTAAAAGAAGGAAGAGAGTGTTCTGTGGCAAAAGAAGACAATAAGAAATGGCTATATCCAATCAAATATAAACAACAATTGATCTGTTTTAATTTGGACGAAATAACATTATTGACTACTTATAAAACTGCATTTATTTGTGACCTAGTAGAAAGTTTAAACGAAGACCTTGAATTACTAAAGAATTTAGGTAAACTATAATATTTCTAGTAAACATCCTATATCTTAAAACTTGTTTGGTATGCTAGAAAATTTTGTTTCATGGGCAAATGTAGAATGGGGGAAATGTGCTTATTATTGAGTTGGGGGAACAATATCGCTTTCCCTGGGACTGAAAAGAAAAAAAAAAATTAAAACATATCAAAAAGTAAACATAATGTTTTGTCACCTCACTTTGTAGAATATTAATGCAATACATAGTAAATATAGGATAATATGCCTGTACTTGTGTTATAATTATCCCTTAAAAAGCCTTGTTCCAGAAAAACAAAAATACTCAGTATCCTCTAGGATAAATTTTAAGATATTTTCATTGTTTATGGCAGGATTCCTCATGTCCATAACATGTTGGCTGAGGCTGCACAGCTCACCCCCACTCTCAGAGTGGTCAGTCTCCATTAATTGGACCCCGTGATTTCCAATCTCTGCTGTGTTGGACGTCATGAGCATTGCAATCCCTCTGGGAGTCACCACATCAGACACATCATACTCAGATATGGCTGCTGGATCAGAGTAAGTGCTGCTTCTTCGGTAGTATGTGCATTACCAGTTCATGTGGAGACAACTCTATTATCAGTAGCTAATAAGATATGTGTCGTATTTTCTTAACCAAAGTCTATCCCACTGTAAATGACATTAGACCTTTCCCTTTTCCCCCATAGAAGCTAGAGGGCAAAAGGAACTAGAAGGGGGAGGAAAATGGCTTTCAGAAAGGGGGTTCTGGGTAAATGATGAATAGAATCAAAGTAGGGATTACATTTTCACTTGTTTTGATGGGTGGGGAAGATTAAAATAAAGCAGGTGTCACTACCTGCTTCTTGTAGAGTTAATGATTATTCTGATGGAGGGAGAGAAGGAGGGGTGTTCTTTCCAACTGATTTTCCTTGAAGGCCTCTTCCTATGTACTTCCCATTGTTCTAGAGTAAAGGGGCTGAAACTTAATATGGGCAAACTGCTTAGATCTTCTGATATTTGGGGTAGAAAACATGGAGATCAGTGTCATCTGTTTTTTATGATATTCATTGCCTAGAAAGAGGACCTTCAAAATCAGTGGTACCAAACTTTTTTTTCAGCTAAGAGCAGCTTTAGGAATTCAGAGTTTGTCGAAAAGCCTAATCCCTAAAATAATACTCTCAATTCTTGAAGAATTTAAATGCCAAATGACAATGAAGGTAGGCCTTCATTATACAACTTTATATATTATTCAGCTTTAAAATTTTTAGCCTTTTGTATCCCTTCTCTTTTAAGTTGTCCGAGATTCCCCCTGCTCACAGATTCCCCCTCTTGTCCTTTTACCTCCCTTGTACCCAATCTTCCTTGCTTACAGAAAGGAAGTGGAAGCCCCCTACCTTTCAAGACGAAGTGGCACTACACCAGGATGTGAAAGTCCAGCGAAAGAGACCCAAGGGGCCTAGGGGGCAGCACACCCCCAGAAGCCAAGTCTATTCCAGGCAGTACCAGGGATTAGGGTCTGGGCTGGAAAAATCCTGGTGTTTTGAATATGTTCAGGTCCAGTTCAGACTCTTGATCCCACAGCCACTTCTTGAGTGAGGTGGGTGTTGCTCTAATTCCCGTTTCTCTTGCCATTTTCAAGGTCCCTGGGAATTCTTTCCCCCTTCAGCAAAGCAAAGCAACTGTACCAGAATTCTGGGTTGAACAGCATCCTTGATTAATAGTGGTTTTCTTCCTTAAAACTGAGAATATTATTAAAGAGAATGTTTATTTCTTCATAAAGCCACCTATTATATAACTTATCTGTTTACTGGGTTCCTTAAAGAGGAAGACTTAAAGCTACCCTAAGAAGTAGTATACAATATTCTGGGGTAGTCCAGAATGGAAAGCAGTTTGGGGGCTTATTCCCATATAAAAAGGAAGGAGGGTGGGGGTGGGGAATGGTGAATTGTTTTCCTTCTAGTGCTTTTTCTCTTGTTTTGTTTTTGTTTTTTTGCATGCCAAAGAGATTTAGTTATGCCAATGGCTGAGACATCTGATTTACAGTTATTTCCCCAGATAAAGTATTTAAAAATCTTCCTGTGTTAGTATGTAGCCCAGATGTATAGTGTGTATGGATTTTTATTAAGTCAGCTACTAACTTGCTGCTATATGGATTAACTAATAAACTATGTAGCTAGACAGCACTAACATTTGTCAGAAATTTGAACAAAAATTAAAGTTTGGGCCGGGTGCAGTGGCTCACTCCTGTAATCCTAGCACTCTGGGACACTGAGGCGGGCGGATTGCTCGAAGTAAGGAGTTCGAAACCAGCCTGAGCAAGAGTGAGACCCTGTCTCTACTAAATTAGAAAGAAGTTAATTGGCCAACTAAAAATATATATAAAAAATTAGCCAGGCATGGTGGTGTATGCCTGTAGTTCCAGCTACTTGTGAGTCTGAGGCAGAAGGATCGGTTGAGCCCAGGAGTCTGAGGTTGCTGTGAGCTAGGCTGACACCACAGCACTGTAGCCCAGGCAACAGAGTGAGACTCTGTCTCAAAACAAAACATTAAGTTTGTTATTTGTAGATAAGAAAAAGATCCAAAGTAGTTATTCTTACAACTGATATTTTTCTCAAAGTATAGAGATGAATGACTGCCTATAAATGTTGCTAGGGAATCCAGGAATTAGTACAGAAACAAAAATACTTCTGGTCTACAAATTTGACTGCAGTGTCAGCACCAGCATATCTTAGGATTTCCTGAAACATTTTTGTCCATAATCTGCAGACAGATTTCTGATAGCTGTAATCACAACTAATCACACAGTTATTCCCTTAGTATTCCTACAAAGGGAAAGAATGTCAGTAACCTGCTTATATACCATTCTGTTAAATCATGACTGATATTTGTTAATGATCCATTGTGCCTATACACACTGTTCTAGGCACTTTAAGCTTAAACCTGCAGCGTACTCATCTAAGTAAAAGACCTAGACCTTACCTCATGGGATTTTAAATCTGATGGCAATATGCATTTTAAAAAATATTTACAAAAAAAGTGTAGATATAACAAAGACGCGAAGATTTTTCTGAATTTCCAACTCTACCATAACGGAATTTCAGGAATTTTCCAAGAGGTGGCATGATAGCAGGTTGCATATTGTCTTTAGAACGCAATTGGTGGAGTATATCTATCGTGAGCCTGGTTTCTGTGTATGTGCCCAACTGTCATAGCAATTCAATTATCAGAGAAAAAAGGCTATAATTACATCTGCATAAAGTACTTGGCTAATAAAGAGATGTAATTCCAATGCTCCAGATTTTTAATCCATATTTTAAAACACAGATAAGAACTGATATATGTGTAAAGGAATAATCTAGGAAACTCTGTAGTTACCTGTCAGCATCTTACTATGAATTTAATCAATAACCAATATGGAAATTGCAAAGTTTCTTCATCGAAAGATAGGAGTTTAGATTTTAGATTTGGCATGCATAGCAATATATTAAATGCTGTGCTTGCCGAGAAAGTGTTGTGTAGTGTGATGGCCTGTTAACCTCCACAACACACATTTTATCTTTATTCCCTAGACTTGCACACGAAGTGCATATGCTCATATTTACCCGTTTGGAGATGGGTAAGATACAACCAACATAGCTCCATCTCCATGGCCATCTTTTATTTCATGCAACTCTCCTTTTTCCCCTGTCCAAAAAAAAAATCCATTCCTAATAAACAGCTGTCATGTTTCACCCCATGCGTTCAGTCGTACAAAATCTCCTATATAAAATATGTACAGCTCTTTGGAATACTCTAGTATTTATCTAGTAATGTACCTAGTAAATTAACAATGTATAAATGTATTATTTTCTTTTAACTGTCCATCATAGAAACTAAATTATACCTTCATTTTATTAATGCTTGTCTGCCTTTGGATTCATTGAGGAAACCTCACCTGTTTCCTAATACGATGATTGCCTCTCAGTGAGCCATATCCAGATCATCTTTTTCTCAAGAATACTGACCTGCATTCTTGATGTGTCCCCCCAATACCCATCTTACAGACAACTCTTAAATAATAATAAAATGCATGCATCTCACTAACAGAGAATACTTTCCTCTGTCTAAAGTTCTTCTTCACCTAGAAATTACCTTTGCTGTTATTAATAAGACCCCTTCTCACAGTTTTGGAGCATATAACTGGGTGAGTTGGATGCGTATCTCAGAATTTTCTCTTATCCCTCACTTCTTAGCTAACGGTGCGCCATGTCGAGCTGCGCACTTTGTTCCTGCCAAGTACTGTATACTGCTTATCTTTAAGCAGGAAAAGTGTCTATTATTTGAGGCAAACAGTATGTGTTATTTGGTTCCCTAGAAGACCCACTGATTTCTCAGGTTGAGTTATACTAGTCCTTAGAGTTTCTAATTTATGAATCTTCTAATTAACATAAATTGCTGTAATCCATTATTCAATTCTGTAAGGTCATAAAGTTACATTTTTTAGTTATCCTTCAAAATTCCCAAATGTAACCAGGTAACAGTCAGACCTGAAGTTCCTTCTTCCTTTATCCTTTGCCACCTATGCCTTTTTTTAAATCAAGTAAAGGCTTATATTAAGTTTCTAAATTTGAATGCATTTATAATTCTTCTATAATTAATAAATTCTGTTTTCCACTCAGTGGGGGTATAAAAAGATAAACCAAGCTTCTCACTAAGCCTGGTTAACAGAAGTCTCAAATAATTTTCTTTCAAGATAGAATATTATCCTGGTTTCCAAACCAAGAGCAAGAAGAAAGAATATACGTAGGATTTGAAGTCAGACAGACTTTGTTTCAAATTCTGGCTCTGTCAGTGTGTGACCTTGGGGAAGTCAAGCCATCTTACCACCTCAACTTCCCCTCTTTAAAAATGGGGTGCTGTTTGCCATGTTTAGTGGTTACATAAATTAAAGACTATATAAAGCACCTAGCAAATAATAATGGGTGATCCAAAATGGTAGCTGTTACTACTGTTATTGTCACTAGATAAATAGAACTTTCGAGCTCAGTTTTGATTACTTTGAAATTCTTTAGTATTACCATGCAGCTGTTAAATAATTGTGTCCTAGATATGCTTGCATGTCATTGGTTGATGAGAAATTATTACTCTAATATTTGAAAGGTGTTTGGGGGTTCGTCAAGATGAGAGGTGTGATAAATATAAGATGCCATTGTTTTTACCTGTACTTTCTTCAGGGTATCCTGTCTTTGTAGTGAATGGAAGAGGGCCTGGTCCCTGGGGCAGTGCAGAAGGCACTTTCATCATCTCACTCACTGCAAATGTCATGTGAGGTTTCATGGAAGTATTAAGAGATCCAATTAAGAAGAATAGTTCTGAGTCTAAACCAGCCCAGAGTGGCTTCTCTAGGGGAAACTCCCCGCTCAGCTGGTACGTTTGTGTTTGTCATTAGGGACACCTTGTATCCCAGGTACCTGCCTTGAGACATCTGCCTGTACTGGCTTCATGTTACACACAAATCCACATTTAACACTCCTACTGTTATTTATAGGCTTAGTTATGTTAATCAGATTGTTTCACTGAGTTCTTTCTCTTATTCTAGTGGCTGGTGGTTGTGTAAAGAGGAGGGATTAGAATGGGAAGTAAAGTGTTAGCTTAAGGGAAGATTAGGTGTTATGCTATCATGCGTTGCTTTTCGCCTTTGTGCAGCCCTGAATCTGTGGAGGCTAGTCCAGCAGTTAATGAGAAGAGCGTGTATTCCACTCATAATTATGGGACCACTCAGAGGCATGGGTGTCGAGGACTGCCTTATGCTGTGAGTATGCATTTGTTTCTCTCCAGAGCAGTGATCTTCCTGGAGTGTAATCCATTCTTATACATTGTGACTTTCTTGAAATGTTTATATGCAGCATGACGAAGTTGCCCCTTTTGCACTTCCCTGCCTCCAGCGGACGTCTAGCCCTGCATCATTGTTCTTGTTTTTATGTCCCAGTTGACCTTGGCATTTTGTTTTATCACTTTCCTGGTTGAAGCCAAAAAACAAAGGGTACTACTTTCTTCTTTCTTTCCATATGTACCATACTTTAGGGGAGAGAGGGGCCAGTGTTTGGACACTGTTGATTTAAAAAATCTTATTTTCAGGATCATAATTACGGAGCCCCTCCTCCTCCGACACCTCCTGCTTCTCCCCCTGTCCAGACGATCATCCCTCGTTCTGACCTGAATGGCCTGCCGTCGCCCGTAGAGGAACGCTGTGGAGACAGCCCGAACTCTGAAGGAGAGACTGTTCCTACCTGGTGTCCTTGTGGTCTTTCTCAGGATGGCTTCCTTCTCAACTGTGACAAGTGCAGGTAAGATCCCGTTCCATCTACACTCAAGTCTGGGTTGCTGGGATTAGGGTTTCTTATCAGTAGGGAAAAGCTCAAAGTATTCTTTCTTGTGTTTGTTAATGTAGATGATTCCTTAGTGCTCCTTGGCTCGAATTCTCTGCACTAGGTGAGAATTGCTGACAACAAGGAATGAGAGATTGATGTTAAAGCTATTGAATTTGATATGAAATTTAATGTCCTGGAAACATTTGGTAGGTGGGAGGGAGGGGGTAGAATATGCAGAGACGCTTCGCCCATGTGTGCTGTGATATGCTGCATGCTGTTGGAAGGACTACTTTAAGTTTATTTTCCCTCTTTAGGGGAATGAGCAGGGGGAAGGTTATTAGACTTCATCGGCGGAAGCAGGACAACATATCAGGTGAGCAGAAGATGGATTAGGCCCACATTTTGACATACAAATATTTTGTGACTTACATATTCAGCTCAAGAACCCCTCTTACGAGTTTCTGTGTTCCCCAGCTCTTTTCATAAAAAGAGGTAGAAGTCCTCTTAAGGCCACTGTATAGTTTTCTTGTAGTAAACTAAATGTATCTGGAAACAGCAGTTAGCCCTGTAGCAATCATGGTATTCCTTGTGAACACACACAAAAAATGGATCCCTTTTGAAAAAATTAGCAAGTCTCAGATAGTTACAGATTAAGGCCAAGGAGTTTAGGGATGTAATATGAGGGGAGAAATAGATACAATGCATAACAGGGTTTATATGCTTAATGCCAATAATATAGATAGTATCTTATTTTCATTAGAAAGATGGGTATTTATGTTGCTTTACAGGTGATAGGGCTAATAATGGAAGTAATGACTTAACTGATATGAGGCACACCTAAAGAAATAAGCTGCTTTTAACATACTTTCAGGCTCTTAGTGCCTGAACTATGAAATAACCTTTTCCAGGTGGGGATAGCAGTGCAACAGAAAGCTGGGATGAGGAGCTTTCTCCTTCCACTGTGTTGTATACAGCAACACAGCACACACCTACAAGCATCACCTTAACTGTTAGAAGAACCAAACCCAAGAAGCGGAAAAAGAGTCCAGAAAAGGGTCGTGCAGCACCAAAGACTAAGAAAATTAAGGTACGAAGGGTGAAAATATCTTAAATAGCAGTATGTCTGAAATAGCTCAAATTTTGGAGCAGGAATACACCAAAACTCTTTTTAAGACATTTGATCCAAGGTGTCTAAAGGGCCACTTTTGCTCTACTTGCAAAAATCAGCTAATGTGTGTCATGTGCATATAGACCAGCCTTTCTTCTGCCCCACCGTATCATCACCACTGGCTCAGAGTTTCTTCTCAGGCCCCATCCCAGGTGTGCCTGTATGTGTTGCAGCCTCAAGTCTAGGCTTCCACTATCCCCGCCTCTCCACCCCAAAGCACAGCCTGAAATTCTTGTCCTGGTTACATGCCTCATGTCTTTGGGTTGATTGTTTTTCCTTGTTTGAAAAAACAAAAATCGGGAAACATCTCTTGAGTGATTTAGGCTTCCTCAGTGTCATGGTCACTTTCCTATATTCTCGGCAAAAAAGTCTCCGGGAAAAACCTCTTCTGGTTTGTGTTCTTTCTTCCCCATCGTAGCAGCTCTGTTGCTTCTAGGTGACTTGCCCACCCCTTGTTGAGGGGATTGGTCTTTGTTTCCTTCTTAGTTTCAAAACTGATAAATCTGCAACCTTACTAAAGTTTTTTTATTTACTTTTTCTCTTAGAATCAGGGGTGCATATCAGAGTTAAGTGATGCATGCTCTTCCCTGTTAATTACTTTTTAGCTCCACAATAGAAAGTGTTAAAATTAGTCTCAGAGTTCATTGGCTTTGAGCTTACCCCTGTTCTTGATAATAGTTTGGGGAATTCTACTGTATTTTTTACCTAGAGAAAAGGGGACAGAATAGTTTGTGCCTTAGTTTTAGTTTCAGATAGGTATGACTGTCATTCTTGGTACCAAGTTTTGTTTGTTCTACTTGTTTTCCTCTTTGGGATAGGCATTTCGAGAGGGATCCCGGAAGTCCTTGCGGATGAAGGTAAGGGGTAATCTATTGTGATCTTGCATTTTGGTCAGCTTCTTTCCTGACATTGATGGTCTGGGAATCTTGGACTCCGCTTTTCATTAGTTTGTAGTTGTTGCCATTCAGTTATTCATAGAGCTTTTCTCCAAAGTAGATTTTCTTGGCCATTTTCTGAAATATTTTCCCTTTCTATGATCCACTTTCATTTATTGGTTTTTCATTAGCTGCTTTTCTGTGGGGTAAGTGTCATGTGCCAAACAAAATGAGGCTGATGTGTCCTGTCACTGCTATTGTGCTCAAACTTGGAGTGAGGTTTTTCTGGTAATATTATAAGAGGATCTCTTGTGCAACCACCCTAGTACCCTGAGGGCTTTAATTGCTAGTTGGAAGGATAAATCTCATCATCAGGAAAGTTGCATTATTGACAGAATTAACTGTTTTCTCTTGGCATACCTGTTTGGAGGAGAAGACTCAGGAGATCCTAGTGTGTTTCTTTTCTTCAGTTATCACATAATAGAGCTTATGAGGCATGATTTTGTAAAGAGCTTGGAGAATAGTGAACAATGGTATAAAAGAACATTTAGGTGCTGGTTGATTAAAAACAGAGTTTGCCAAAAGGAGATTTGATTATACTGTCTAGGTATCATCCTTTACCTGTATATATAGATATATATAGGTGCAGCATACCTCCCAAGGCATTACTTACGGCTTCAAAGCTTTTAATTAGAAATAAGTTCTAGTTTAATTCTGTAACTATTTCTATTCTTAAATGTGTAAATAGGACCTTTTCTAGTGACTGTTACGTGGCATAAACATTAAAATCTTTAATGAGGATAAGCTTTATTTGGATTCTGTTTATGTGAAGCACCATTATGACTGATGTTATCAAAGATTATAGGTGGCATTTTATCTGAAGTTTGACTTGCACATACCTGTAAAAGAGCTGGGAGAAGACTTAGAGCCACAGAGTGTCAGGCCTGGGGTGTATCTTGGAATGCAAATTAATAATCTCTTTGCTACATCCATCTCCCACAAATGGCCAAATTTGCTTTAACTGCCCCTTTATTTTTGTTTCATTTTCTTAGAGGGACCCTTAAATAGACTTTGGAGGCAGCCAGAGCCCCAATCCTGGCTGCTAGGCCCTTTGCTCTTACCAGCCAACTATCGTAACTTACCTCTAGAAGTTTGAGATCTTTTCGAAGCTATAGACTGGCTCTCCCAGAAAGCATATAAACTCCAAACTTTGCTTACAGTTTCAAGAAGTTAACAGCCCCACAGGTGTGTTAAAATTTAGACAGAAAAGAAAAATATTATAGGTGATTCTGCTGGATTAACAAAAAAAGAAAAGAAAAATACTAATTGTTTTGTGTCTCATCTTAATAACTTTAAATCGAGTTAATAAATTTTGTCCTCAGAATTACTAGTAAGAATTCCCCCAAAGATCCAAGTGGGAGCCATAAGAGTGGAAAAATTTTATCATTTGGATTTCTAATCCCAAAGCCAGAACTTCCCTACTGGAGACTTAATTCTAAACTCAAGTTTTCTCAGCCTTGACACTATTGAAATTTTTAATCACATAATTTTATGTTGTGAAGAGGACTGTCCTTTGCATTGGTCTAGCAACAGGATATTTGGCGTCTACCCACTAGCTGCCAGTAACACACCTTCAATTGTGGTTATCAAAAATGCCTTTAGATATTACCAAATGTCTCTCGAGGACAAAATTGCCTTTTATTCAGAACTACCTTAAAACCACTGAGGTGAAGTCTGTGGTGCCCTGAAGAATAGGGCAGCAGCAGAGTGGCCTCTCACTGATGTTAGTGAGCAGTTGCTACTGCTGTGGCAAAGGCTTCCAGGATGCAGTAAGTTTATCAGGTCATAAGTTTAGTAGTGGTCACTCCGGGATGCCTAAAGCTGGAAATACTGTTTGGGCACCCCTAATCCCTTCTCTGTAAGCACCCTTCAGTCTAAGGTTTTACACAATTCCTTTTGCTCAACTGCTGTTGACAACATCAAGCAGCAGATGATGCTTACTCTGTTCTCAGTGTTGACCTTAGGTGTTTCTTAGACCCCTTTGTTTATCGTTTAGTCTTTGGGACTAAATGAGAAATGTAGAAAACCATGGTGTTAATTTTTTTGTTCCATTTTCTATTCCTTGGGGAAAGGATGGTAGACAACAATCAGTCAAGAACAGTGAAACAAAAGTGGTGAAAGAAAGCAGTTGTTAAAGTAGACATCAGTGTTTACTGTACCATTCGTGAAAAGTATATTTAATTTTGTTGTTTCTGTTTTTACAAGTTTAGTGTGGATGTGGATTTTTAAGTAGTGTGATACTACAATGTCTTCCTTCTAATCATCACCAGCGTGACATCATCACTGTCAGTGTTTGTTTTGCTTCTGAGGGCGCCTTATAAATCTTGAGCACCATGAAAGGAGAACACGTCAGGCTTAAGCTGTGTCTCTGTAGATCAAGCACTGTTCAGGGGGCTGTTTCTGACGTGTAGTAATCTTTTCTCAGTACTATCCCCATAGAGGGCAGTGGTTTTCCTAAAGGAGTATTATAGCAAAGTACCTCTTAAGCATTTTCTATATCCTCCCTACCCACTCCTCTCCCTTCACTTCCTCTCTTGAGATTATTTAGAATGCAACAATTCAAATTGCTGAAAACAGTGTGATAGAACGATATACTCCAAAATACTTTTTATATGTAGATTATGGTTTGATTGATTGGGGTCACAGGTATATTTTAAATGAACACGTATTAATTTCAAATGAAAATAAGAAGTGACACAAAAACAATCATGCTCCTGGAAGGTAATAAAACCAGTTTGCGCTAGCACAGATGTTCGATAAGTTGAAATTTTAAGCAGTTTGGTGATTTGAGGGCTCTGCCATTCATGTTTATGAACTCGATGTCAATCTTTTGATAAGAACAAAATTGATTTTTATGACTTAAAAATGGTCATTAAAATCGGTGATGGGAAGGAACTATGATCCACATTAATTTCTCACTGAATAAATGGAGAAACTGAGCTTCCGCATTTAAAGAAGTTATCCAAGATCTCACCTCTCATTGGTTACAAAACTATGACAGAGCCAGATGCCCTGACTCCCAGTCTATTACTTTTACATCATACTAACTGCCAAGTGAAAACAAATTTTTTTTTTCTTGTCGCCCGCCCTGCCCCCACCCCCCGTGTTTATGCATGGATTCTGCTAACCTGCCTGACCTTTGTTCTCTACAGAATTCTCCCTCTGAAGCACAGAATTTAGATGAGAATACAACTGAGGGCTGGGAAAATCGGATAAGACTATGGACTGATCAGTATGAAGAAGCTTTCACTAATCAGTACAGTGCAGATGTACAGAACGCCCTTGAACAACATCTACATTCTAGCAAAGAGTTTGTGGGCAAACCTGCAATTTTAGACACTATTAATAAGACTGAATTGGCCTGTAATAATACAGTTATTGGTTCCCAGATGCAGGTAAGGACCAAAGGGTTAAAGACTCTGTGTAAGTAGTTGAGATATTAAAAAGGAAGGAAGGAGGGCAGGGATTGGAATTACTGTTTCTTCTAAATGTACAAGGCCAAGGCCTTAGAATAACAAATGAGCCAGCTGTTGATCATCTTAAACCAAAACTAGGTTATATTAACTGGAAACTGTCTGGGTATATATTTTTAAACTATACTAATCAAAAATAGATTAATAAAGGTGGTAAATTTTATACAGCCTCAGGAATTATGTAAGATTTATGAAAAGCTAAGGGTGTTCTTTCTTGTTCTTATATTAGACATAGAGCCATTAAAATCTTAATCATGTATTTTTCCTTGATCTTTTCTTACCTTTTCTGGGATGGTAGGTTCACTAGATGGAGCATGTCTTCTAGAAAAATTGAGCTTATATCACTCAAAATTATCTGATTATTGATCTAAATAACATATAGATAAAATCTGAAAATGTTGGTGACATTTTTTAAATTATGAAATATTTTGTGTGTCTACTGAGGTGCTATTGCTGTTATTTAATGTTACTACTCTGGTTTTATTCAGTTACAGCTGGGAAGAGTCACTCGTGTTCAAAAGCACCGGAAGATTTTGAGGGCCGCAAGAGATTTGGCTTTAGACACTCTTATAATAGAGTATCGTGGGAAAGTCATGTTACGACAGCAATTTGAGGTCAATGGGCATTTCTTCAAAAAGTAAGAACATCATTCATTAAGCAATGAGGGCTAACGTGGACCTGGCTGGCCAAGGTTGTTATAAAAATTATCCTGTTTGATAGAATGCCCTTGGGGAAAAGATTGCAACTCAAATAAGCTCATGCCTGTCTGCTGTTTGTAGAGAAGTGCAAATAAATCTGCAGATTGTTTAATGTATAAAGTGGTGGTGACTCCTTTCCAAAGCCAAACATTCCTTGCTTTGTGCTTGTTCTTTAATCAAAAGCAGACGAACATGTGATGTCTTCCAAGTTTAGGCATTGCAAAGGACTGCTGCCTCTTCTGTCAGCATATGCTTTATGTTTGGAGTCATGGGGTGGACTTTTTGTTTCTGTTGAGAATTACAGGAATTTTAATTATATCCCTAGACCATACCCTTTTGTGCTCTTCTACTCAAAATTCAATGGTGTAGAGATGTGTGTGGATGCCCGTACTTTCGGTAATGATGCTCGGTTCATCAGAAGATCATGTACACCAAATGCAGAGGTAAGATATCCGTAGCAACTTCCTTTTGAATGGAACCAACAAAAGGACAAGCTTACTGAAGGAAGCAGTCTGAAAATTTCACCCAGATAAATAAAGGTCTGTAGAAAACAGTTGTGATCTTTCTTTATGAGAGATAAAAAAAAAAAAAAAGTAATGGTACTTTTATACTGACAGACTAGGAAGCAAAAGAATGAATTTTCTTTAGAGGAGGCAGAAATGGGGGGGGAAAAAAGTCAGCATTAGCTAAGGAAAAAGAGAGTAGCTAAGAAGTCAGGTTATATCAAAGAAATTGCCTTTTGGTGGAAATAAATGTCATTAGGCTTGGTTGCCGTTTTTTTAGATTTTAGGAAATAATGTTCTGTGAGAGAATCTAGACATTTTTATAATTCATCACTCCTGGTGTATGTGACCACATCAGATGCAACAAGAAAACCCTCACAGCCTTACTTACAGGCTGAGGAATTTTAATTCTCTGGTTCAACTCGAAACAGCTGTAAGATGTAAAGCAGAGATTTTACCCTGATTTCTAACATCTCAAGTTTCCTCCACTTATCTCAAGAAGTATTATAAACTTTGAGGCCATTACTATATAGTAGTTTCAGATGAAATGATAGAATTAAATAACAGACTTGTATGACTGTAAATGGGTAGAAATTATTTGGTTAAAAGGTTGTTTTCTCTCATGAAAAGTTCATGATCTTCATAATCCTAACCATAAGCATCATTCATGCAGGTGCGGCACATGATTGCAGATGGGATGATTCACCTGTGTATCTATGCTGTGTCTGCCATCACCAAGGATGCTGAGGTCACCATAGCGTTTGATTATGAGTACAGTAACTGGTAAGACCTGAAAAACCTTTCCTAACATGAATGTTTGTGTCTTTCATATTAGGCTCTTCAGCTCTATTTAAAGTCCGCTTTTGTTTCTTCCCCTTTCCTTTTACTTAATCTTTTCACGAGTGATGTATTGTTTGCCTAGAAATTGTGAAGGAAAAGACAGACTTAAGATGGTTTTTTTAGAGATACAGGTACATTGTACAATACTACTCACAAGTGTCCTTGACAAAGGTGTGCGGACATACACCTCTTTAGCAAGAATAGCAAGAGGGATGTGTATGAGAAATTGCAGTAGCACCTGCTGTTATGCACAGAGCACTTCTGCCAGGGACCATATAGGATGAGAATTTAAAGATTCATCCCCACCCTAAATGTGTTTAATTTTTTTGTCAATTATACCTTTATAAAGCTGAGGGAGAGATTTAAAGATTCACTTCATCCACTCAAACCATGTGATCTAGCTGTATATGACAGTACAGAAAAACAGATGGCAAGTCATGAATGAGTATGTGACAGGTTTCATAAAGTAGATGCTTTTTCTTCCTTGGTTATTTTAGGCAAAATAGAGTAAAGTGATGTTTGGCTCAGGTATAAGAAGAAAAGGTATTAATAAGTAGGGAATAAGTAGCTAAAAGTGAGGACATAGTTACAGTGGGCACAAGATAAGTATGGCCACTTTAACCTTTCGACCACTGGTTCACTGCCTGCTAAATAGCCTAACAATTCTTAGGAACATGGAGTTTAGTAGGAGCTTTCTTTCCTTTCCACTGACTATATGTAGTAGAAGAGCTGGGGTTATACAGAGAAACACAGAATATTGAAGTGACTCTCTAATATTTCTATTTAACTTATTCAAAGATAATATCAGAGGATTCATTATGTTAATATTTTAAGATAATGGTTGATGTAACTGAATTTCAAGGGTACTGAGACAGGCACTTTTGGTTGTTTCTTTGGAGCAGTAATTATAAAGTGGACTGTGCGTGTCACAAGGGGAACCGGAATTGCCCTATACAGAAGAGGAACCCCAATGCTGCAGAACTGCCACTCCCGCCTCCTCCAAGCCTGCCCACCGTTGGGGCAGAGACCAGACGTAGAAAAGCACGGCGGAAAGAGCTAGAGATGGAGCAGCAAAATGAGGCTCCCGAGGAGAATAATGACCAGCAACCGCAAGAAGTTCCAGAGAAAGTCACTGTATCCAGTGATCATGAGGTAATCTCACCTGGTCAGATGACAGCCTTGTGGCATGGATCCTCCAGAGGAAGAGGGTCCCAGGTTGCTACATGTCGTTTTAGGTAGGGAAGCTACAGTGACACTCAATGCCCTTTATATTAAAGTGGGCGTGCATTCGTTGATTTTCTTTCTGTTTTGTAATGGCAATAACATCCTTTCAGCAACTTTCCAGATTTTAGTCCAGAGAATAGGTTATCATGTGTGTTTACCATGTGAGTAACCCTTTAAAGCATTAGAAATTGTTTCTAGAGAGTTTTAAGCTACCAGACAGAATAAAACAGAGAGATTGGTTTTTCCAAGAGCTTAAGAATATAACTGAATATTGCCTCTGTCTTAAAGGAAGCAGACAATCCAGAAGAAAAACCAGAAGAAGAAAATGAAGAGGTTGTAGATGGCCAGGAGAGTCCAGCCCACGGCAGGAGGGTGAGTTCCATCTAACACCCCTTTGCCCCTGTGATTCCTGCTGCCTGCAGCATGCGGGCCTTTCTTTTCTGCTGACTTTGTATCTCATATATTTTTTGTGGAAGTTATAATTTGGGCTTTTCCATAAAATAGATTTCATTATAATTTTTAAATTTCTTTTTCTACACACAGTAGTTGTCTGGTGACTATTATCTAATGGAGGTTTTAAGAGGTTCTTTCAAGGCCAGGCGCGGTGGCTCATGCCTGTAATCCTAGCACTCTGGGAGGCCGAGGCGGGCGGATCACTCGAGGTCAGGAGTTCGAAACCAGCCTGAGCAAGAGCCAGACCCCGTCTCTACTATAAATAGAAAGAAATTAATTGGCCAACTAATATATACAGAAAAAATTAGCCAGGCATGGTGGCGCATGCCTGTAGTCCCAGCTACTTGGGAGGCTGAGGCTAAGTTTGTGTGTGTTTTGACACATTTTATAAAAATTAAGCCTTTAAGTCATATGGAGTAAAATTTTCTACTTCTAGGCTGAAACTAATCGTGTTTGTTTATGACTCTAAGTATAAGTTTAAGGAAAATCTACTTGGTTCTTTTTGAGCTTTGAAAATGCAGAAAAAAAATTGGTTTTGATGGCTATTTACCTATTATATTAAAAAGTTTGAAAATAGCTAACCCTTTTAGGAAAATTTATTTATGTTTGAACTTGTATTCTTTTACTGTTCCCACCATTTTAAATGACATATTTTATTTTTAGTTTTTATCTTATATTCTCCAAGGTCCTTAAGTGAGTTTCTATAAATTTCCATTAATAATACTTCTCTCCTCCTTGTTGAAGCTTCATTCTATACTAATGCTATTTTTTTGTAGACCCGAGAAGATAGGAAGGTTGAAGCCATCATGCACGCTTTTGAAAACTTAGAGAAAAGAAAGAAGCGGCGGGACCAGTCCTTGGAGCAGAGCAGTTCTGACGTGGAGATTACTGCCACCACCTCAGAGACTCCTGCTGCGGAAGAGACAAAAACTGAAGCCACTGAATCTGAAGTTAGCAACTCAACCTCAAATGTTGCTGTCCTGAGCATCCCACAGAATGTCGGTGTGAATACCCGGAGGTCTTCCCAAGCAGGGGTGAGAGAGGAAGAGACTCCGGGGCTTAGACATCAAGATGCCTTTGCTAATGCCACTGTCATTTTCAAACCTGTCTTTTGGAAGGGTTAAAATAAGTATCTTCAGCTTTGCTCTGTGTGTGTTGCAATAAGTAAGGCCATTTAGCTAGAGCCACTTTTATTAGCTGATTTGTGGGGTTTAGGGAGACCAGTAAAGTCAGAATTTGAATGACTAGACACTTTCAATCTAGAATGGAACTTGTTACTCTGCCTACCAGATAAACTGTTGGTGAGGAGTTGATAGAAACCATTTTGTGTCTCTCGTGGATGTCCTGCATAGGCATCCGTAAGATTTCATAAGATTCCAAGGATAAACCCTTTTTCCCTGCTCTGCTGTGATCACACTAAAACTTCAGTATCTGGGAAAGAAACATAGGAACAATTCACTTCCCTATCAGGAACCCTAAAATTAGGTGATGACTTTTAGCTAACTTTTGGTCTGTTTTATAAATTCTTATTAGAAATAGAGCTGATTAACCCAGATATCTGTCTACAGCCTCTTTAGCTGATTTAGATACATAAATTTTATATTTAACGATTATATTTTGAATTGCTGTTCCTAAACCTTTACCTTTTTACCTATAGACATTCTTAAATGCTTATTGTGAATAGGAAATTACATACAGTGTTTGCTGTTAAGAAATTTCTGATAAGCATTTGACCTTGCTATTGTTACAGGATATTGCTGCAGAAAAACCAGTCCCCAAACCACCTCCAGCAAAGCCTTCTAGGCCCCGACCGAAGAGTCGAATTTCTCGGTACAGGACCAGTTCAGCCCAAAGACTAAAGCGTCAGAAGCAGGCCAGTGCACAGCAGGCAGAGTTGTCACAAGCTGCCTTAGAAGAGGGAGGAAATAGCAGTTCAGTGACTCCTGCTGAAGCTGGAAGTATAGACAGTGCGGGAGAAAACAGGCAATTAATAGGGACTGACCCAGCCGTTGTGTCAGTTGCTGGGTCCCACGTCAACCGTGCTGCATCTAAATACCCCAAAACCAAAAAGGTAAGTCACAAATACATTTTTTCGTAAGTCTAGTCTGGCAAGGGCTGGCATAGTAAAATGAGAGAACCTGTAATCCCCAGAAAAAAACTAATCTCAGTATTATTATTGTATTGAACTTTCTAAAATCCTTTGACACAGAAGGCTGAAGCTATCCTACTACCTTTTGCTCCTTTATTTTTAGGCAGAGCTTAAATCACTGATAGCTGGAATTATTCCTCTCTCAGTGGGCATGGAGAGGGTGAAGGAAGGTATCCTTGTGTTCTGACCACCCAATTCATACTTACGCAGCTGCTGCATCTCCTTCTGTGCTAGTTTCTAGATGAGGTTTGTCTTTGTGGATTGTACTGCTGCCTCTGGCTTTATAGACATATACAGCATCAACTAACACTCTTTCGTTTGTCTGTCTGTTTACCTTAGTATCTAGTTACAGAATGGTTGAACGACAAAGCAGAGAAGCAGGAGTGCCCTGTTGAGTGCCCTTTACGTATCACCACGGACCCGACCGTGTTGGCAACCACCCTGAACATGCTGCCGGGTCTCATCCATTCCCCACTAATTTGCACCACCCCCAAACACTACATTCGCTTCGGCTCACCCTTTATCCCTGAGAGGCGTCGAAGGCCCCTTCTGCCTGATGGCACATTCAGCTCCTGTAAAAAGGTATGTCTGTTTATGTCTTTTGTTTTGTTTTGTTTTTTTACTTAGGGTGCCTATAACTGCGACACATCTAACGCATTCTCTAGGTAGTCACTTTGCCCATGTGAGTTTATAGTGAGCTAGTTGTTCAGCCATGAGTACTGCTGCATCACAAGTCAGTGGCACTAAGGTGAAATGCATGTAGTGCATTGTCGATGCTCAATTTGTGAGTGTTCACTATTGTCTCTTCTGAGAACCCTTGAGGTTCCTGGGTGAGAGCACGCAGCAGTTGATAACCGGGTAGGGAGGGCATGTTTTCGCGTGTGCTTTTGTGGTGTTCATTAGCGTGTCCATTTGTGATTGTTGTGTGAGGTTGGGCCCCAGTTCCTCGAGAGCACTGTTCCATAAGTAAAAAATTACCAAATTGTGTTTTGAATTCTACTACTTGAAGGAAATTAGAAGAAAAATCCTGTTGTAGCTGACACAGTTCCTGTTCCTTGATCAAATGACAAGTTGGACTATTTATTCCCTAGAGAATTTGGAAACTACTGTGTAAAAAGACTCTCTCCCTTTCTTTCTGCCTCTCTCTCCTTTCTCTAATTACTTACTGTTTTTGGATCTAGTGGCAGTGTAGTACCGTTTGGTGGTTGCTTGTTTTTGGAATGTTCTTTCTCAATTCCCAGAAGCCCTGCATATTTTCCAAAGGTGTCTCTCAGGAGTAGATCCCTCCCTCAGATTCATAATGTTGTTTCCCTGTTTCTAGAACTGTAGGACACGCTTTCATTTGGTCTTCCTTTAAGGCAGAGTCTGTTCCCTGGAACACCCTTTTCTCTTATCCTCAGATCTGGATTCAGGCTGCCTTCCTCAATGTCTGCCATTGCCCTCCTCCACTGGCATCACGTACATGAGGATGCTGCATGTAGATTATTTGATGTGATGAAGTCTCCAGCTCCAGGCAGGTCTTCCCTGACTCCTCCAAATTTAAAGCTTTCTCTTTCCCCAAAGAACAGAAATTATTTTGGTGGGGGAGGGGGGCATGAAAAAGATGAGCCACAGTGGTGTGGGATATGGAGGGGAGGAGGGCAACAGGAGCCTGTGCAAAAAGCAAGGGCACTACTGAGTGAGCAGAAAGTCATTCCTAATTGCACATCTTTCCTAAGTATTTGAGTCACTCACTGGTTTGTTCAAGGAAACTCCCAAGTGTAAGAAATCCTAAAGAGAAATTTGACATGAGATCCTTGCCAAAAGAGTTTGTAAATAATGCAATGACATGAATAACTTCAGGTGTCAGAAATAAAAACAAAGACAACTTAATTTAAAAAGAAAGACTAGAAAATTTCTGAAAAGCTGTTTTCTATAGGAAGTTTGCCTAGGTAATGAAGGAGAGTTGGGTCTCTGGAGGTACTTTCTTTTACCAAGTCAGTTAGAAAGACTGGTTTTTCTTAGATCTTAGAGATTATCTCAGAAGACGAAAAATTGTTTGCCATGTAATAAGTATGATTAACTTTCTGTAATAATTGGAGAACTGATCTTACTATAATTAGCATTGCACAGTCCCTCATTAAGAGTAACATCTGAAAATCTTAACTGCATTTGTGAATATTGTTGAAAATTAGAGAGAGTATAGCTATGGTCTCTAGTCTAAAGGAGGAGACATTAAGAGATGGCTTAAAATATATGAAAGAAGCTTTTTGTTGTTGTTCTCTGTTTAGCTGGACATAGTTTCTAAGGATGTTAACTGTTGAAGTAGCCTATCAAGCCAGATGGTAGAATCTCCTATTTTAGTCCTTTTAGAAGGGTAGGCAGTTGTTTAGTATAGATTAATAGTGACTTATGAGTTGTATATAATACAGACTAGTCTCTAGAAACACCTTCTTGATAATTGTGATGCCGGGTTAGTCTTTCTCTTCCCATCTTGTTTTTCCAACTAACAGAGACATATGAAAACCAAAAATGTGTTTAGGACTGTGACTTCAAATCCAGCAGAAAATTCATTTATTTGAGCTTTTTTTCTTTTTAACCTGGTGGTTTTGTATCTGTAGCTCATCCTTATATTTCCACTAGCAACAGATAGAAATCCTTTTTTTTTTGAGACAGAGTCTCACTTTGTTGCCCAGGCTAGAGTGAGTGCCGTGGCGTCAGCCTAGCTCAGAGCAACCTCAAACTCCTGGACTCAAGCGATCCTCCTCCTCAGCCTCCCGAGAAGCTGGGACTATAGTCATGCGCCACCATGCCCGGCTAATTTTTTCTATATTTATTTTTAGTTGGTCAATTAATTTCTCTCTATTTTTGGTAGAGACGGGGTCTCGCTCAGGCTGGTTTCAAACTCCTGACCTTGAGCAATCCGCCCCACCTTGGCCTCCCAGAGTGCTAGGATTACAGGCGTGAGCCACCGAGGCCAGCTAGAAATCCCTTTTAACTCAAGTGTGTGTTATAGTCTCCAAATGTATCTGACTATCCTTAATCTTGTTTTATACTGACTCAAGGGCTTTTACCTATATGTGTCATGATGTGTCTTTAGGAGACATTTAGGCTGTGTATACTGGATTATCATAGCAAGACTATTTGATTTAAATTGAGATTTTACTTTAAAATTTTTTTAAGTTTTTTGTTTTTTTTTTAGAGAGTCTCGCTCTGTTGCCTGCACTTAGAGTGCTGTGGTGTCACTGCAACCTCACACTCCTGGCTCAAGCGATCCTCCTGCCTCAGCCTCCCGAGTAGCTGGGACCACAGGCATGCGCCACCATGCCCGGCTCATTTTTTCTATATATTTTTAGTAAGCCAATTAATTTCTTTCTATTTTAGTAGAGACGGGGTCTTGCTCTTGCTCAGGCTGGTTTCAAACTCCTGACCTGAGCGATCTGCCCACCTCTGCCTCCCAGAGTGCTAGGATGACAGGCGTGAGCCACCACACCCGGCCAACAATTGTTTAAGTTTAAATCACTGCTTGTAATGTTTACTGTAAACATACCAAATTGTATTACAAAAGAAGAATGTAGCCATTAGGGCAAAATGGAATTGAATTTTGAATCTTTTAGCTAGAAATCAAAATCGAACTCAGCTTTAGGGGACTGTGGAAGAGTTATTTTTAGATTGGTTAGGAAGGATTCATCTTAGTGCAGGACCTAAGAACGTTTCCATGATTAAACAAAATTGTAATAAAAATCTGAAAATCCCTTGGAGTATAAGTTAAGCAGATAGATGAGAAAAACCACTCTCCAGGGTTCACCACTGGAGAGTGGTTAAACTGGTTAATCCAGTTTAACCACTCTCCATTAGTTAAAACAGTATATTCGTAATAGGCCTACTGTTTAATATCTGATTAAAGGAGGTAAAGACCTAATGAGTTAAAAACAGTATAAATGAAGTTGTATCTGTATATTTGTACTCAGATTCTTAGAGTATTTGACAGAACATTTTATGATATCCCTGGAGTTTCTAAATTAAATCGAGTCACAGTTCTTAAAAAGCATTTTATAGTGTGTCTTTTTAAAGATCTTACTTCAGTTACTATTCTAGAATAGAAGCAGTTATAGGTGGCCAAAAAGCATTTCATTAGTACCCCACCGTGTTCTCTTTAAAGTCACCTTCTAGACATAATGTGTATAGGGGATTTGATGTCCCAGATTTCTTAGAAAACCAACGACTGGTAATGAAGCACTGTGTTTTGCATTGGTATTTCACTGTATAAACTAAAGGGTTATTAATCTGTGTTTCTGTAAACATAGCATTAAAATTAGGTTGGATAAGGACTCACTGAAAACCTGCTCTGCGTCCTGTGCTACAAGCTTTCTTTATATACATTATCTCACTTAACCCTTCACAACAACCCTATGAAGTTGGGGTTATTGGCCTAAATTTGTAGATCCAGAAGGTTTGGTATCTGTTGCCCAAGGTGAGGCAGCCAGTAAGTTGCACAGCCAAGTTTCAACCCATATCTTTTAGATTCCAAAAGCGATGTAACTTCTTTTTCTTTCCCTATAATAATGAGACCCTTTAAAACACTTCTCTCACCCATCTTTGAACCTCCTAAAAAACTTTTGTAGTTCACTTTGATACAGAGTTTCAGAGAAGGGCGAAATGGTCTTATGACATTAATAACTTAAGATAGAATTTGGGCAAGCAGTAGAGATGGGGAGCTCTAACATTAATTTATTATTCATGGGAGAATTAGATCTTGTTCCATACAAAGTAACACAAATATTTGTGTGAGTCCTGAAATACTGTGAAAATCTATAACAGGGCCAGGAGGAATGGGTTTGACCATGTTTGCTGTGTTTAACCTTGTAGCAAACCATGGCAACATCTTATTTCTAGAATGTTCTTGTTGTGGTTTTATATTCCCTTTTTTAGTCATCAGGTCCAGGCTGTAAATTCTTTTATGGGTACATCTACTTAAACCCTGGAAGTATAAAAAATTACTCATTTCTCGGCCGGGCGCGGTGGCTCACGCCTGTCATCCTAGCACTCTGGGAGGCCGAGGCGGGCGGATTGCTCAAGGTCAGGAGTTCAAAACCAGCCTGAGCGAGACCCCGTCTCTACCATAAAAATAGAAAGAAATTAATTGGCCAACTAATATATATATATAAAAATCAGCCGGGCATGGGGGCTTGTGCCTGTAGTCCCAGCTACTCGGGAGGCTGAGGCAGGAGGATCGCTTGAGCCCAGGAGTTTGAGGTTGCTGTGAGCTAGGCTGACGCCACGGCACTCACTCTAGCCTAGGCAAGAAAGCGAGACTCTGTCTCAAAAAAAAAAAAAAATTACTCATTTCTGGGCTCACTGAGCTTTCCTCCATGAGTTCTGTCATCTGCTCTGAAAAGAAAAACTTGTACTAAAGGTGTCTGGAACAGATTTTTTTTTTTTACTACTAGGCCTAATTTTCCTCCATCTATAAAATGACTGTTTTGCACAAGATGACCTCTGCGTTCTCTTCTGTGCTGAGTATCTATGTATGGTTCTGACAACTCGTCTTTACATCAGTATTCTTCTGTATCTAAGAGAATTCATTCTTGGCATTGTTCTGGCTTTTCAGAGACCTGGTCATATCCTAAAATGTTGATGTGATTCAAATGACCACTGAAGTCTCCTGATGCATACTCAGTTCACTCTCATCTCTTCATGTTTACAGTTGTGTTTTTGCTTTCATTTAGCAGGCCACATGACATTTACATGACACAAGATTTTTCTTGGTAAAATTTTCCTGGACTACATCCTACATTTCTGAGAGGGGAAATCTATTAGAATTGCTCTCTTAGGTGAAGAGAATATTTACTTACCTGTAATTAATACATGTTTTCCAAAGGTATAAAATTATAATAATATTTCACCTTTACTTTTCCTATTTGGGGGAGGATCCGACTCAGAAATGATGTTTATCAAAGTTTGATCTGTCTTATGTCAGGGCAGGAAAGCCACAGAGTGTTGGGCAACCTGCATCTATATATCTTAAAAAAACACAACTATGTGTAAAAAAATCTTTCTTTCACAGGATGCATAATCTTACGGGCTGGCCTACATTTATTTCTCTTCGATTTAGGTCTTAATCTTTACTACCAGAAATATATGACTAATTAGAGAGGGCTTCTTTTTTATTTTTCCCTTTTTTGATTTCTGTAGGTCATTCTGTGATTTGCGTTATTTGTGCGTAATTTAAAGAAACTACTTGATACGGCAGGGAAACCCGTAGGATGTTCCATTTCAGAGTAGACCTTTTAAAAGTCTTTTGGTACCTGTGTTAAAGAGCTGTTATTTCTCATCCAAAATCTTCTGAGAGTCTTTATGACCTCTTCACGTGTCCCAGCACAGGCCAGACAACTCTTAAGAGATCTTTATCCTCCTGCTAGGTGCTTATTTTATGTATTAGTTTTATTTTGTTATGAGAGTATCTCTTAAGTGAATATTAAGGTTTCATCCTTATGTCTTCCCATTTACGCCATCGTAAGCAGTATGAAAAGTTGAATATGAGTCATTTATTATTGATTTGGGGTTTTTTGGTGGTTGTGTTTTTTGTTTTGTTTTTTTATGCAATCTCATTATGTGTAATCCAGATTTTCTCAGTTTTGCCTGGTAGAAGGAGCTGATGGCGTGATGTTCCAATATACTGAAACACAAGACAGTAAAATACTTGACTGTGTGGGACTGAATGAGTGTGTTGGATTGTATCTCTCACAATTGATGTGCATTTAAAATAGGTGTACTAAATAGTTTTAAGTAGTTATTGATAATTCCCTGGTTCTTTTCCCATTATAGCGCTGGATAAAACAAGCCTTGGAAGAAGGGATGACTCAAACTTCATCTGTACCCCAAGAGACTAGAACTCAGCACCTATACCAAAGTAATGAGAATAGTAGCTCTTCTAGTATCTGCAAAGACAATGCAGGTACGTATCTAAAACCTTTCTGAATACATGACTGATGATTGTTTCAGATCCACATAAAAAATTTCAGTATGAATACTGATAAAAAAGAGAAATAGCATGTTCTCTAAATAGTTACTTTACATCTGTCTTTACAGAAGAAGAGAGAGATCTCAAGTCAGGGATCAGTTTTCCCAGGACGACAAAGAAGGAACTAGACAGTATACAGATAACAGCAGAAATGGTTATAAAAAGGTTAGATACATTTAAAGTAGTAAGTTTAGGAAATTTATATCCATATTGATAATGGGGGGGAAGGCAAGAAAGTGATGGAACACTATATCAGGAAAGACTCTAAATTCTGATTGAGTTTGGTGAAGCGTGGTTTGAGGGGCCAAGGGATGAATGAAGTAAATGAAAAATTACTATTAATTGTTTTTAAAAGGATGCACAGTTAGTGTAAAATTTTTTAAAAGATACAGCTTTAAATCCAGTATAAGGTTCTTTGTGTATTTTTAAAGTAGATGGCCATGAAAAATCATCTGGTTCATTGCTTTTCACAGTGACTTTCAGGGAATCTAATTGAAAGCATTGGTGCATTAACTTATGTTACCTTCTTACTTTGGGACAGTCTTTTTACCAAAGTTTCTCCTGAAAATATCAGCATAATTGAAAGGTTCTGTGTTATTTTTGTAAGTTTATCTCTAAATCAGTTTTTTAAATATTACACAATCAAAATAAAATCTAAAATAAAGTACTAAAGCTCATGTAATGCTATAGCTAATATGATAATATTTCAGATTTTCATAAAAACCACTTCATTGTTCTCATTCATCAACTTGCTGAGTAAATATTAGAAACTTAAATTTATTTTTATTAGTAATGTCTGCTTTTTATTAAAATTCTGACTTTATTTAGAAAAAAGTGAGCCTACCATTTTTTAAATTATTGACTTAGTTTATTCTTCTGTCTCCAGATTGGATTTTGCCTTATAAATTATCTAAAAGAAATGATACCATTTATTTAAAATATTTTGTTCTGGTGTTTGTCAAAGATTAGGGAGATTATTTGATTTGATTTGATTGATTGATTGATTGATTGAGACAGAGTCTCACTCTGTTGCCTGGGCTAGAGACCTAGAGTGCCGTGGCGTCAGCCTCACCCACAGCAACCTCCAACTCCTGGGCTCAAGCGATCCTCCTGCCTCAGCCTCCCGAGAAGCTGGGACTACAGGCATGCGCCACCATGCCCAGCTAATATTTTATATATTTTTTTCTTTTTTTTTTTTAGTTGTCTGGCTAATTTCTTTTTATTTTTTTTTTAGTAGAGATGGGGTCTCACTCTTGCTCAGGCTGAGCTCAAATGACCCTCCCACTTCGGCCTCCCAGAATGTGAGCCACCACGCCCAGCCAAATTAGGGAGATTTAGTCAAACAAGATTAATATAAAGAAATCTTGGTGCCAGATTTCAATTAATGCTATCAATTTATTGGCAGCTTTTAAAGTGTGATGAGAATATAACTTAGCTCAAATAGATTACCATGTGGCTCTCTCTCTCTTGCTCTCACTCTCGTTATGTATGTGTGTCGTTAAGGTTGGGAACAGGAGATTGTATAAGTGATACATGTCCTGACTAGCAAACACTTGTAGGAAAAATGCCTTTGTTGTTGCATGCCCTGGCTGGAATGGAATTACGACTGTTAGTCTCCACCCTTTATTTTTGAGCATCTACTGTAGTCTGTAGCAGTGAGAAACATTCACGACACCCCTTGTCCTTAAGGAGCAACGTAACAGAAAGAAAATACTTATTTTGACAATCAAGCAGTAGACAAATGAGTGAATCATTGCTACAAGTTAGCATAAATCCTGAGGAATTCTTTTTGTTTATTGGTTTTGTTTTGTTTTCTTAAGAATGCCAAGAAGATGTAAATCAAGAAATGGGGGGGGGTGTTGGTATTGTAGGAAGAATCAAATGGGATTGAGTAATGTATATAAGATGATCAGTATGATAGTAGACCCATAATAGGAAATATTACTATTACTTTTGTACACAGAATATTCTTTCTTATCATGTATTTATGGATACTATGTACGTTAAAGTTCTGAATTCATAAAAGCTAAAATTGTATAGAAACAATGTATTATGGCCAGGAACGGTGGCTCACGCCTATAATCCTAGCACTGTGGGAGGCCGAGGCATCGGATTGCTCGAGGTCAGGAGTTCGAAACCAGCCTGAGCAAGAGCGAGACCGTCTCTACTATTTTTTTTTAGTAGAGATGGGGTCTCACTCTTGCTCAGGCTGAGCTCAAATGACCTTCCCACTTCGGCCTCCCAGAGTGTGAGCCACCACGCCCAGCCAAATTAGGGAGATTTAGTCAAACAAGATTAATATAAAGAAATTTGGTGCCAGATTTCAATTAATGCTATCAATTTATTGGCAGCTTTTAAAGTGTGGCCAACTAATGTATATATAGAAAAAATTAGCCAGGCATGGTGGCACATGCCTGTAGTCTCAGCTACTTGGGAGGGTGAGGCAGGAGGATCGCTTGAGCCCAGGAGTGTGAGGTTGCTGTGAGCTAGGATGACGCCACGGCACTCACTCTAGCCTGGGCAACAGAGTGAGACTGTGTCTCAAAAAAAAAAAAATAGAAGAATATTAGAAGAATAATATGCTGTGAACAAATAAAGTTTCTCCTAGGAATATAAGGATGGTTTCATATTTAAAAACTATTAATATAATTCATTTGTGAGCAGGTCAGTTGTCAGAGATGTAATAATATAGTGACTGTTATAAATTTAATAATAAAATAACATAGTTTTTAAAATCTCTATCTGAAAACAATTGCAAATTATCATATATCATTGTGAAAACTGGTTAAACCTTAAAATGTATTATCGAAGTGTTTCTCTGTTACCATTATTATTTAACATATTCTGGAATTGTTAGCCAAAATGATTACCCAAAAAACTTAGATATTCAAGTACCAGCAAAGAAGGTATGTGTTATCGTGTCCAAATATTATAATACGATCATCTACCAAGAAAAGCCAAGAGAATTAATTGCAAAACTGGTAGGGATCAGTAAAGTAGCTGGATATAAAAACAAATATATAGACATTTTATTATGTTAGCATGTAGATAACCTAGTAAGAGAAGTATGTTCTATTCACAATAGTAACAAAAAGTAGAGAACACTGGAGAGTAAACCTGATTGTTTATTTTTATTTATTTATTTGAGACAGTCTTACTCTGTTGCCCAGGCTAGAGTGAGTGCCGTGGCGTCAGCATAGCTCACAGCAACCTCAAATTCCTAGGCTCAAGGGATCTCTGCCTCAGCCTCCCGAGTAACTGGGACTACAGGCATGTGCCACCTTGCCCGGCTAATTTTTTTCTACATGTTTTTAGTTGTCCAGCTGATGTTCTATTTTTAGTAGAGACAGGGTCTCGCTCTTGCTCAGGCTGGTATCAAACTCCTGAGCTCTCAAGCATTCCTCCGGCCTTGGCCTCCCAGAGTGCTAGGATTACAAGCATGAGCTACCTTGCCCGGCCCTAAACCATATTATTTATAACTGTGGTACATTTACATGAAGAGGGACATGATCAAAGCTTGAGTAACTGAAAGATCATGCCACATTCCTGAGTGAGAATGTTCCCCAGATTACTCCTGAATTGTGTATAACACCATTTAAAACCCTAACTTTTTTTTTTTTGGTAGTGTGAATATGGTTGATGAATTGTTTCTACAACAGTTTGTTGCTAGAATAGTCAAAATATTTTGGAGAACTAAAGTAGAATAACTGGAATTGCTCTAACAGTTTTACTAAAAAGTGTATGAATACTGATTCCATGTTGGACAGTAAGTGGACAGAATTACATTCAGAAATAAACCCAGGAGGCCTGGCCCGGTGGCTCATGCCTGTAATCCTAGCACTCTGGGAGGCCAAGGTGGGAGGATGCTTGAACTCAGTTTGAGACCAGCCTGAGCAAGAGTGAGACCCCGTCTCTAACATAAATGGAAAAAAATTGGCCAAACAATTAAAAATAGAAAAAAATTAGCCGGGCTCAGTGGCATGTGCCTGTAGTCCCAGCTACCCGGGAGGCTGAGGCAGGAGGATCACTTGAGGCCAGGAGTCTAAGGTTGCTGTGAGCTAGGCTGATGCCACGGCACTCTAGCCCAGGCAACAGAGTAAGACTGTCTCAAAAAAAGAAAAGAAAGAAACCCAGTATGTGTAAGAATCTAATAGGATAAATATGGTATTTCAAATCAATGGGGAAATTATAATACTACAATTACAAAGGGGTTTGGAAGAGGGTGTTAGGCCAGCTATTTGGCATGGAAAAAGGGTAGAATAAGCCGGGCGCGGTGGCTCACGCCTGTAATCCTAGCACTCTGGGAGGCTGAGGCGGGCGGATTGCTCGAGGTCAGGAGTTCGAAACCAGCCTGAGCAAGAGCGAGACCCCCGTCTCTACTAAAATAGAAAGAAATTAATTGGCCAAACTAATATATATATAAAATTAGCCGGGCATGGTGGCGCATGCCTGTAGTCCCAGCTACTCGGGAGGCTGAGGCAGCAGGATTGCTTGAGCCCAGGAGTTTGAGGTTGCTGTGAGCTAGGCTGATGCCACGGCACTCACTCTAGCCTGGGCAACAAGCGAGACTCTGTCTCAAAAAAATAAAAAATAAATAAAAAAATAAGAAAAAAGAAAAAAAGAAAAAAAAAAAGAAAAAGGGTAGAATAATCACTACCTCATACTAAAGTATGTTCTGTTTGAATCAAAATGTAAATTACAAAATTAAACAGGGATATAAAGGGAAAGTAGCCTGGCATTTTTATAGTCTCAGGGTAGGGTAGCAAAAACATGATACCAGAGGCAGAAAATAAAGGAATATGATTGGTCCATCTAACTAAATAAAAATATAAAACATTGTATAGCAGTGACTTGTAAATAAAATTGAAGGACAGCAAACTAGGAAAATATAGTTGTAACATTTTTGACAAAGGGTCACCGTTTTTTTTTTTAATTTAAAGAACTCTTACAAATCAAGAAAAAGATTAATACCCCAGTAGAATGCAGGCTGAAGAACAGGCAGTTCTCACAAGAATAAGTATATAGTTAGCATATGTAGACATTCTTTTGATTTAACAGTTGTACATTGTACCCATTTGTCCTAACATACTGAAACAAGTGCAGAAACATATAGAACAAAATTAATGACCATTGGGATATATTTATAGTAACGAAAAGTGAAAAATACTGAAATTGGTTAAATTTTATGATGTCATCGGCCTTTAAAAACTGAATTGTATTTTTCTATGATTGTCTTAAAGATATTTTTACCATGTATTTCTGAGCGAAAATAGTTACTGAGCAGTGCGGGTGAGGAAGGAATCATTGAGGCCACATCAAGAGAGACATCTGGGCCACACGCAATGGCTCATACCTATAATTCTGGCACTTTCAGAGGCAGAAAGTGGGAGGATTGCTTGAGGCCAGGAGTTCAAGACCCGCCTGGGCAACATAGCCCCTGTCTCTATAAAAAAAAAAATTAGAAAAATTAGCCGGGTATTGTGGTACATACCTATAGTCTCAGCTATACTCAAGAAGCTGAAGTGGTAGGGTCCTTTGAGCCTAGGAGTTTGAGATTGCAGTGAGCTATGATCATGCCACTGCACTCCAGCCTGGGTGACAGAGCCCAACCCCTGTATCAAAAAAAAAAAGAACATCTGCATAAAAATACACCATGATATCAGCAGTGCATTTATTTGTAGATATGATTTCAAGTTTGTGTGTTTATATAATCTTGGGAATTACTTGAGTAAAAGTAAGGAAAAACAATAAATGATGGATAGATTTGACTACATAAAATTTGATAGCTATGTAAAAAATAAAATAGCATTTGAAAAAGAAGGCAAATGTGGCCGGGAGCGTAGCTCACACCTATAATCCTAGCACTCTGGGAGGCTGAGGCAGGCGGATTGCTCAAGGTCAGGAGTTCAAAACCAGCCTGAGCAAGAGCCAGACGCTGTCTCTACTATAAATAGAAACAAGTTAATTGGCCAACTAAAAAAATATATATATATAGAAAAAAGTAGCCGGGCATGGTGGCACATGCCTTAGTCTCAGCTACTTGGGAGGCTGAGGCAGGAGGATTGCTTGAGCCCAAGAGTTTGAGGTTGCTGTTAGCTAGGCTGACACCACGGCACTCACTCTAGCCTAGGCAACAAAGTGAGACTCTGTCTCAAAAAAAGAAAAAGAAGGCAAATGATTTGGCCCGTAACCTTTACAAGGGCAGATGTCTGTTTTGTTGAATGCAGCATCATGATAAATACTCAGTAAATAAATGTTAGGTGAACGCCATGTACATTGACTTGCAGGTGGCACTTTTCATCTCTTACCTTCTAACTTTTTTGCCATAAACTTCATCAATTACGTAATTGACTTTAGCAGTTACAGTGCTGGACCTAGCAGTGCAGTGGGCTTCTAACACAGTGTTTACCACCCTTTTTGGCACCAGGGACCATTTTCGTGGAAGGCAGTTTTTCCACAGGGCAGAGCAGGTTAGGGAATGGTTTCAGAATGACTCGAGCACGTTACATTTATTGTGTACTTTATTGTTATTACATGTAATATATAATGAAGTAATTATACAACTCACCATAGGTTGGGGGCCCCTGTTCTAAAAGATTCATTGTTTAAGACCCTTGAAATATACAAAAGTTATTCTGAATATAAGCCATGAATTACATGTTTGTTTGTTTTTATACCTAGGCACTTTTAAAAGGAGGAAAGAAAATTTAGTACTTGGAACAAAAGGAAAATGTGAATATACTTCCAGATTTCCTAGATTAGGAAAATAAAAAAATTCTGAGATACCAGAAAGTAAAATATACATGTCCAGTAGTTTTTGCATTCATTCTTCCCTCTCTCCAATTAAACATCTACTGCCTGAGTTCAGTGCCTCCTAACTCTTCCTGAAAATGTAACTCTGATCGTGACCTACTGACCCAGAACTTTTCCTTGAGGGCCTGGGATGCAAGTGCAATCCTTTCCCTAAGCCTTGGGGTATTCTCTAACCTAGTGTTAAGAATGTCCAGCGAGTGAGATTACCTAGTCTTTATCTTTTCACACATCAAATTTCTCACCTTTAACATGCAGTTAATGATAATAGTGTTCAATTAGTAGAATTTTTCAAATTAAATCAGATATTTCACATAAAGCATGCAGTACAATGCCTGGTATATAATAATCACTTAGGAATTGTAGCTGTTTTTACTAACACTAGGAATATGATCACCTCTCTTGATCATACTAATATTAAACACGTCTCACGTTTTCTCTATTTCTTAGAATTTGTAAGCCCCTCGAAAATAGAGTATATAATAACCATTCCCCCACTCATACCTAGTTCAGTGGTTTCCATATAGTGGGCATTAAGTAAATAAATGTCATTTTGACTGTAAATGAATAAAAGCATATTCTTCCTCTGAGAATCGAGTGAGATAGGTACTTTGGTTTGACTGGTCACTAAAATATAGTGTAGTAACTTGGTTTTTTGGTTTTTTTTTTAAGTGAATCTAAGAAGTATAGAAAGTAGGATTATTCTAATCAGAAGAGAAGTACCAGCCTAGGTTTTTTTTTAAATGGTTGGGAGAATTTTTTATAAAAATTATGTCACACTTTTCAGTACTCTAACACCAGGGGTTAGGTATAGATCAGGGAACTGTGTACTGTAGAAATATACAAAGAGCCGCTGCAGAGGAGCACAAATACATAAGAAGATTAAAGGGAATTAGCGCCCCAGTAGCTTTAGTCGGTGGTGTGGCAATTAAGTAGAGGGTGATTTTAATGAAGTAACAAAGATCTAAGATTCTTGGAGATTCTATGTAAAAGAAATTTATATTTTGCACTGAAAGAGATTAAATTAATAGCTCTAGGGATAGTCACTAGAATTGTTAGATTCATCTGGAGTTTCTCCAGATATAGTATTTTGGGAGATATCAAGTATTTTGAGAATTATTTTAAGTGTGGTAATTAAAGAATTCCCCTTGGGCTTTCGGTTTGATCAGAGGACATAATTTAGTGGGATGAGGCCAAAGAGGAGTTTAAGAGCTGTTGTAGGTTAGAGATTAGTGACTTTAGTACAGAGCCTCCCATTAAGGTGTGGTTTCAAATTCTCATCCAAGCTTTGTATTTCACAGACTTGTTGAGCCCATTAAAGAAATGGAAGTCTCGCTATCTGATGGAACAGAATGTCACCAAGTTACTTCGCCCTCTGTCTCCAGTCACGCCACCGCTTCCCAATTCAGGCTCAAAGAGCCCCCAGCTGGCCATACCTGGTCCATCTCACCCAGGAGAAGAGGAATGTCGGAATGGGTACAGCCTCATGTTTTCACCAATCACATCTCTGACTACTGCCAGTCGCTGCAACACTCCTCTCCAGTTTGAGGTGATTTGGGTTTGGTTGTTGGGAGTGCCTGATATGAAAACCATCTTTCGCATCTCCTCATTTCAAATACAGTACCCTTCCAGATGTTTCTTTACTATCTTCCGCCTCCATCTCAGCAGGAGAATGGGAAACTTCAGGGTCGGTGTGGCCTGTTGTCTCGTAGCCTCTCGTCTTGGCAGCCCCTGCACATCCAGAGTAGGAACGGTGCCCCCACAGACCCCGTCCCTCTGTCTTCACGCGTCGCCCGCCAGTCTCCGTGGTTCTAGGTAGCGAGCGCGTCAGAGCTCCACCTTTATCTCCGCTGTGTGCCTTGGTCAAATAGACCTTTCGCTCCCAGTAGTAACTGTTAGCAACACCAGAGGAAGAACTCAGAGTATGCTGATTGATTGTGTCTCTTGTGTCTAGGCCTTTCAATAAGTGACGTGTCTGTCCCGGGTTGTTTGGTATTTTCAGCGTAGCCTCAGTGAACAGAGGTTCGGAACGCATCGGGTTATGGCTCATGGTGATGCGGGTTTTACCTACTCCAGGCTACTTTCCCTCCGTGTTACGATGTGTTAGGAGTGAGAAGTAGACAAGACAATTGCAACATGCATTTTATAAGAGACAAATTATGGCATTCGCTCTTTGAATTAATTTACAAGTATCTGCCTCAGCTCTTTCAAAAAGTGTTTCTGAATCTCTTTAGTATTCAGGTTTGGGTGACAGGTTTGAATATTTAAAAAAAACTCATCTATTGCATGTTGCTTTGAATTGTAATTAAGTTAAATGGATACTCTCTCTTCCTGCTCAGAAGAATTTATTCTGACCACTAAACACTCAGCTCTGCCCAGCTTGTACTTCTCCAGATATGTGTTTAGAGAAAGGGAAACGTTCTAACCAACCTCATCTTCCCAATTCGGTGTTTATGAGAGTGTGAGGATTAAAAATACCTGGATGTTCATACAAGTAACCCAGGAAGAGATAGCTAGCAATGTTGAAAGCAGAGCTGTATTCTGTAGCTGACTCTAGACCGTATTAACTTAGAGTAAACCTCTTTCTGGGTGGAAGGGGAAACCCAGTTAGATTTGATTTTTTTTGTTTGTTTGTTTGTTTTTTGAGACAGAGTCTCACTTTGTTGCCCAGGCTAGAGTGAGTGCCATGGCGTCAGCCTAACTCACAGCAACCTCAAACTCCTGGGCTCAGGCGATCCTCCTGCCTCAGCCTCCCGAGTAGCTGGGACTACAGGCATGTGCCACCATGCCCGGCTAATTTTTTGTATATATATTTTTTAGTTGTCCAATTAATTTCTTTCTATTTTTAGTAGAGACGGGGTCTTGCTCAGGCTGGTTTTGAACTTCTGACCTCGAGCAATCCGCCTGCCTCGGCCTCCCAGAGTGCTAGGATGACAGGCGTGAGCCAGCACGCCCGGCCTAGATTTGATTTTTCTAGGGAAGTTACTCTTTACCTAATTCTTTGGGGCATCCTTTTTAGCAAGATAATAAAGCAGCTGATTCAGGCCTTTCTAACTTGACTTTGTCTACGTGCAGTTGGTTTTTCAGTTAACAACTAGAGCTTTATAGGAAGATGTGAGAGGACTTCTCGCTGGAGGGCAAGAGATCATAACAGTAGAGTTTCCTACTTCAATATAGGTTTTATTATAAATGTGAAATCATAAAAACTAGAAGGTACATACCTTCTCAAACAAGCAGATTCAGCACTCGGTGTATTCCCTGTCCCTTGTAGTGTCTTGGATAACTGCGAAGCACTGTGCTGATACAAGGTTTTTGGTTTTTTTAAATCAGTGACCATCTTAGTGACGCATGGTGTGAGCATAATGTTAGAAGACCATGAGGGAAAGAAAGTATTTGATTAAATAACAACAGGTTCAGTGCACGGTTTTACTTTTATAAATTTAGGATTAAACTAAGGAAATTTAGCCTCTCTCATCCATGAAAAAACAAACTCACCACCCTGACCCATTTTTATCACCATTCTAATGGCTATATACTTTTTCCTGTGTTCTAGTCCAGAGAGGGAGTCTTTTTTTCTATCAAAGACTATGATACATAGAAAAATGTAAAAAAAACCAAAAAACATCATAAGTAAAGACCAGCTTAGTTTAGGAAATGATATTTTTGAAAAGGATAAAAGCATTCAGGAAGAAGGTGAGGTAAGCAGTGGAAGAGAATAAAATTCAGAAGAAAGCATCTAGAAAGAGCAGTGAAAGCAGTATGAGAAGGTCAGGATGAGTTTAGCCTCTCCTCCCCCCACAGCACCCTCCCCTTCTTTCCTGCTCTGAGAGCCGTGCTCCACTCTGCGTTTCGCACACCCCCCCCCCACAGACCACCGACCCTGTCGGATGCAGTTCACTCGCGGCCGAACCCTGCCAAGCTGCCTCATTCCCCAGCACAGCAGAGACCTGCCACCAGGCCACCACTGTCCAAAGTCCACTACATTAGGAACCGTGCCCTTACCTCAGCCCTGGCACCCTGGGTCCTCACCACGCCACCACCATCACTCCACTTCCTTTCATTGACGCCTTTCCATCAGGGGCTCCCTGCTTAGCCCCTCTCTGTTGCGGGAGCACTGCCTCAGGGGAAAGTCCTCCCCACGTGCTGCTTTCTTCGCTGTGCCCAAAAGTACAGTGGATTTTAACCGAGAGAACATTGGTGGGGCTGCTCAAGTCCAATGAGACTATTCCAAGAACCAAACTTAGCCTGTGAGCTAAGGTCCCATCAATCCCATGACTTACTGCTGTCACTCAGCAGGAACTGGCCGTCTCCCCGGCCCTGTTGGCCCCCAGCGTGCTAAGGGTTCTCCCTGGAGCGCACTGGCAGGCCTGAGGCACATAAGAGAATAAGGAAGTGTGACAGTCAGAAGAGGTGTGGGGTGAAGGAACAAGGAAGAGTAAGTGCTATACTTTCATCTAAAATACAAAAAAGTGTAACACTGTAAAATTTCACCAATCTAACTCTTGATATGCGCTTGAGATGTTTACTTATAGCATGAAACATTATAACCAGTTTATCCTTAAATGCTTTCAAAGACACCCGGAAGCATTTTAACAAGTTGTGCTGTCCACCGAGATGAGTTCGTCAACATCTCCACAGTTAAACATCCACTGTGCATTCTTACCTAGTCCCTGCCCCCCGGGAAAGTCGTGGCTAACCTCTGTGCTTGCTTTTATTTTTTGTTTTGTTTTGCTTCTTGCCTTTGAGTAGATGAATAACAAGATGCTTTTCCCTCCTCTAGAACATATCCTCCCCCGAGAGTTCCCCTGCGCATAGGCCTGAGTCCCTGTCACCCGAGGTAGTTATCACACCATCTCAGTCACACGTGGAGGCTGCGAGTGAGTGTGCGTGAGTGCGCTGCCGAGCGTGCGGGATGGGCTGGGGCCCGGCGAGCGGGGTGACGGGCTGGAGGGTGGCCACTCAGTCACGGCGAGTCTTCCTGTGTGACTGTGACTTCGCAGTCGCACGCATGGGGGGAAAAACGAAGTGTGTGTGTGTGTGTGTGTGTGTGTGTGTGTACGCGGGGTTGGTTTTTGTTGTTTGGGGGAGGGGTGGTTGCTGCTAAGGAATAGCATCTAGATGTCAAGGATAAAGGGTGCTGAATATGCAGTAGAAGCCTTGTTAAAGGGTGATAAATAGGGCCTGTCAGCAAACTGGGACGTTTGCATCAAGAGTTGGTATGAACTGTCTTTTGATATTTATTATCTTGGGTGGAAAAGGGAACCGCTTGTGTTGGAAGAGTTGGGCAGTGACTCATGCCTTTTTCTAGGGTTAATCTGACAACTTTGTATAACCAAAAGTTTGGGGCTTTGGTGGATAGATTGAGCAGCTTCTTTAGGAAGAAAAAGTCATTCTGTCTCTCAGCGTTCCTACATTTTCTCCATAGCTTCTTACTGGGTGCACAGGGAAACTGCATCTGTCCCTGGCTTTGTGTCACAGGCCACCATTTGGCACTGGTTGGGGTATGGTACTGTACAGGTGATACCTCTAAGGATGTCAGTCAAGTGCTTTTCTCAGAAACTGACTGCCGTCGAGATGTCACAATTCAAATTTTAGTGCTAGAGTTTCTGTTACTAGCTTTGCACAAATGTGGTGATTAACTCTGTGAGTCCTCATGGGACTCACAGAGTTTAAGAACTTTAACCCCAACCCCTTCCAATAAAAAATTAGGGCTAAACCTAGTGATGGTGGACCAAATTCTGAATCAGTAGGGTTTTAATGGGTCAGTGTGAAACTGAAAAAGGTTGTATTGCACTAGTGTACTAGAGATTTTTTAGATATTTTGACTATCTTGTTAGGAAAGTAAAGTTTACTGTCCTCAGTTGTTAAAGATTCTAAGATAGCATAATTTGGAGACTGACGTGGTGTAGTATGTGGGTTTCTGGTACCATTCTTTGTGGAGAACTGGCTGTAGTTGACCTAGTGATGGAAAATCTTGGGAACTTAAATCTTAGGAACTTATGATAACCAAATGGTAGGTGGGGCTTATTCTGGTGCACTTCAGGGTTTCAGAATCTGCAGTGATGAGCATTTAGTGGTCTTGTGATTTGTTGACATACATTAGAGGATAAAGAAAGAATTGAGTGTCCAGACACTTGTGTGAGAAACACACCTACTTAACAGTGAAAGAGAGTGAAGAACTGGTTGGTTGATGTCTTTAATGCCGTCCTCGTTTACTGAACCAGTAACTTAAATACCTGCCTTTCCATCTGCCTTCTCCTTTCCTCCCCTTTCCCCACCTTCCATCAATATTAATTTAGAAACAAATAACACCAGGAGCCAGTTGTCTTAAAACACCAGTCTGTAGTGTTCATGGGCTCCAGTAAATCCCAGATACACCACTTGCCCCTTAGTGTCGTGCAAGGTGACTCAGCAAACCTGATGAAAGGCTAAGTAGGCAAAGTATTCACATTTGGCCAATTACCTAATTCTAATGTTCCCAGTATTCCCATCTGGAAAGCAATTTGGGAAAGGCCGGGATTCTTTAGTAGTCTGGCCTGTGTACGCTCTTGGGGTGTGGGACTTTGACAGATGGTAATAGCTTTCTCTCTTCTGCCCCCCTTATCTTTCTCTGCTCACTGTGCCCTCTCCCCCCTCCTTCTGCCCTTTTATTTCACCTGTCTCCTCTACCCCGTGTCCCCGTTGGTTTTTATTCTTTCAGCTCTGTCACCGAAAAGACCTGGATTTGACAAAAGTAGGATACCTTGACTCCAACACTAACAGCTGTGCTGACAGACCTTCCCTGCTCAACTCAGGCCATTCCGACCTGGCTGCTCATCCTTCCATCGGGCCCACTTCTGAGACTGGCTTCCCAGGCAGGAGTGGAGACGGACATCAGGCCCTCATGAGAAACTCAGACCAGGCCTTTCGAACAGAGTTTAACCTGATGTATGCCTACTCCCCTTTGAACGCTATGCCTCGAGCAGATGGATTGTATCGAGGGTCTCCTCTGGTGGGAGACAGGAAGCCTTTGCATCTGGACGGGGGATATTGTTCTCCTGCAGAAGGGTTTTCCAGCAGATACGAACATGGCTTTATGAAAGACCTCTCTCGTGGATCCATGTCACCTGGTGGTGAAAGGGCCTGTGAGGGAGTCCCATCTGTGCCCCAGAACCCACCGCAGAGGAAAAAGGTAAGTGTTTAATATTCCGCAAGACCCCCTTTTGAAGACTGTTAACTGAATAATTCAGTAGACATTAAACAAGTTCCTGCTGTGTGTATGTGCCATGTATTTGCTAGGCAGTTCAAAGGGCAAAGCAATGAAAGAGAGTAATAATTACTTATCATTTATACTTCCCAAGTTCTTGGCACTGTGTTAAGCTCTTCGAATACATTTTATCTTTACAATAATCCTATAAGATAACTTCCCATTTTGCAGACAAGGAAACTAAGGCAAGTTGAGTAACTTGCCGATGTTCACAGAGCTAGTAAATAGATGAGTCAGGACACTACCCAGGTCTGTCTTGATTCCACAGTGTGTGCTATATTGTCTTGATTCCACAGTGTGTGCTATATTGCCTTGATTCCACAGTGTGTGCTATATTGCCTTCTAGGTTCTGCCCTCATGGAGCTTATAGCAAGTGAGACTGAGTTTTAGCAGATAATTCTGTTAATAAGTAATTATACTAGTGATGGATGCTCCAGAGGAGTTGTTCCCATATGGTGACACTGTCTTACAGGGAGACTTGACCTAGTCAGATGTGTAGAGAACAAACAAGAGATTCTTAGCCAGTTTGAGCGATGGGCTTAGAGTAAGAGTAGCCGGGCACTAATGGAGACAGCAAACGCAGGTGAGGGGTGGTACCACAGTGGGAGCAGAACGAGTAAACGTGTGGAGTAAACGTGTGGTGCTCCGCAGCGGTCGGTCGGGTGTTGTCGTGTCCGGCAGAAGGCCAGGCAAGCCAGGAGCTAGGTCCAGAGGGAGGTGGACAAGGCCAGGCCATGGAAAGCTTGTTAGCAGGTTGGGACACCACTTGTAAGGAATGACTGAGCTAGAAATACAGTGCCAGAAATGTGCTTTTTGTGTCAGTCATTCTCAGCCTTGGCCATTTGGAGATGCATGGGAGCGTTTTGGGTTGTCATAGCGATTGGCATGTATTGGGCAGGGCCTGGGGTGCTAAACGTCCTGTGTGTGAGATGGTCTCACATAATGGCAAAGTATTTGCGATGTCCTCATGGCAGTGTAGCCTAGTGGCTTTTTATATTTTCTTTGCAATGAAATATATTACCAGAATTTAATATTATGAACTTCTTTTTTTTCTTTCTTTTTTTCTTTTTTTTTTTGTTTTCTTGAGACAGAGTCTCGCTTTGTTGCCCAGGCTAGAATGAGTGCCTTGGTGTCAGCCTAGCTCACAGCAACCTCAAACTCCTGGGCTCAAGCCATCCTCCTGCCTCAGCCTCCCGAGTAGCTGGGACTACAGGCATGTGCCACCATGCCTGGCTAATTTATATATATATATATATATATATTAGTTGGCCAATTAATTTCTTTCTATTTACAGTAGAGATGAGGTCTTTCTCTTGCTCAGGCTGGTCTCGAACTCCTGACCTCAAGCAATCCTCCTGCCTCGGCCTCCCAGAGTGCTAGGATTACGGGCGTGAGCCACTGCACCCGGCCTATGAACTTCTTTCTCCAAGATTACATACTAAAAAAGCATATACAAGAATTGTTTTACTTTTCATATTTTTTTGCTATATTTTATATTTGGACCAAAAAATGAGAGCCCCAAGGGGATAGAAAAAGGAGAAAACACTGGCAGATAATTTGGAAGAAGATAGGAATGGGTTTCAAAGACTGTTGCATGAATAGCACTGAACCATCAGAAACAAACACAAGCAGCATGGTGGCCGTGGGAGTCAGAATCCACTAGGGCTGTGGCCCCAGCCCTGGGCACAGACCGGCACTGGGTGCCGCGTAGCAGGAGGTGAGCGGAGTCAGCGGAGCTTCATCTGTCTTTACAGCCGCTCCCCGTCGCTGACATCAGCGTGTGAGCTCCGCCTCCTGATCTGCGGTGGCATTAGGTTCTCCTGGGAGGACCAGCTCTACTGTCACCTGCACATGGGAGGGATCTAGGCTGCGGCTCCTACGGGAATCCAATGCCTGCTGATGTGAGGTGGAGCTGAGGCGGGGATGTTAGTGCTGGGGAGCGGCTGCAATACAGATCGTCACTAGCAGAGAGGTTTGACTGCACAATAAATGTAAAGCTCTTGAATCATCCCAAACGCATCCTTTCCCCGATCCCACCCCCATCCGTGGAAAAATTGTCTTCCATGAAACTGGTCCCTGGTGCCAAAAAGGTTGGGGACCGCTGCACTAAGGAGTATGTAACACTCACCTCCTGGGTGGAGAGTAAGACAAACGTGGAAACAATCTTCGACTTCTGGTTTCCTTTATCACTCACAAAAGCGGTAGAAATCATGGAACATTTCTGAAATTTATTGGGCACCTGCAGTATACCAAGTTCTGTGCTGGATATTAAAGATAAGAAACCCAAATGTACTTGGTCTTGGCCCTCAGAGAACTCACAGTTAGTCAAGGGACACACACGGGACACTGGAGGGTCTGCAGCGGGGCGCGCGCCGTGTGCAGTGACGGCAGGGGGGGTGCTCGGCAGGGCGGGGGGGTCTGCTGTGGAGGAGTGAGGCTTAGGACACACACGGGACACTGCAGGGTCTGCAGCGGGGCGCGCGCCGTGTGCAGTGACGGCAGGGGGGGTGCTCGGCAGGGCGGGGGGGGTCTGCTGTGGAGGAGTGAGGCTTAGGACACACACGGGACACTGGAGGGTCTGCAGCGGGGCGCGCGCCGTGTGCAGTGACCAGGTGTCGGGCAGGGCGGGGGGTCTGCTGTGGAGGAGTAAGGCTTAGGCAGATGAGGAGCAGCTTGCGGAGAAATTGCCATGCGTAGCTTTCCTGGAGCTAGCTGGCTAAGGTATCAACTGGAAATAATTTCTACTCCTTTCATGTTTCCCTATGTGTCAGACAGAGACAGTAACAAATGCCTGTGTGTATGTTGAACATATTTAAGGACCCTGGAGCATTGACTTTTTCTTTTTTTCTTCTCCCAATTTTAAAAAACCAACTCTAGAAATTGCCAGGGAGTGCAAAAGAGCCATCAGAATCGCCTGGGTGGGCCAGGCGTGGTGCCTCACGCCTGTCATCCTAGCACTCTGGGAGGCCAAGGCGGGAGGATTGCTCGAGGTCAGGTGTTCGAGACCAGCCTGAGCAAGAGCGAGACCCCGTCTCTACTATAAATAGAAAAAACTTAATTGGCCAACTAAAAATATATAAAAAAAATTATCCGGGCATGGTGGCACATGCCTGTAGTCCCAGCTACTCGGGAGGCTGAGGCAGGAGGATCGCTTGAGCCCAGGAGTCTGAGGTTGCTGTGAGCTGGGCTGACTGACACCACGGCACCTCACTCTAGCCTGGGCAACAATGTGAGACTCTGTCTGGAAAAAAAAAAAAAAAAGAATCAACGGCTGGTGCCTACTCTGTTTACATGGCTTGGCTAGTGGTTTACTAAGGTTCCATCTTTCCTTCTTTCCCCATTGCTAGTGATCCACTAATGTTTCTTTTTTCCTTTTTAGGTATCCCTGCTGGAATACCGAAAACGGAAACAAGAAGCCAAGGAAAATTCTGCTGGTGGGGGAGGTGACTCTGCGCAGAGCAAAAGCAAGTCTTTAGGAGCCGGGCAAGGCTGCAGTGACTCTGTTTCGGACTCTGGCGCCCACGGTGCGCAGGGATCCTCAGCCCGGACTCCATCTTCCCCGCACAAGAAATTCTCCCCATCTCATTCCTCTCTGTCCCACTTGGAGGCGGTAAGCCCATCAGATTCCAGAGGCACTTCTTCATCTCACTGCAGACCTCAAGAGAATATCAGCAGTAGGTGGTAAGTTTATAATTAAACTCAGAAAAGAAGCGTGTATCTAGGATCATTCCCAGTTTTACCTAAAATATATGGGAAACCTTCATCTGAGAGAGCCAGCGACAGTGCCATCCATCTGTCTGCTCGGCTGGTGCAGCAGCGTCAGCTGCAGCTCCGGCTGGCAGAAGGACAGCCCTGCCACCAGCCTGTGAGCAGCCCTCTGGACAGCAGAGCTTTGGGCGCACAGGAGCTGAGTTGTTCAGGGGCATTAGTGCGGCCTCTTCCATGTGCTCATTTTGCGTGAAAGGTAAGTCAGGAGTCCAGCCAGGTTCCAGTTGCGTTAAGGAATGTCTCTGTTCCACACAGCTAACATATACGGAACAGGAAGACGCTCTTAAAGAACTTGCATGGTTTAGGGAGGACCACAAACAAAAAAATAAATAAAGCTGGTGGCAAGTACTGAGTATTAAATGCGTAGAGTAGAGAATGAAGTACTGGAGTTTAGGGATCGTGGACTGAGGAAATGAGTCTGAGAAAGAGGAGACGTGGCTCGCGTGACCCTCATTTATCTGTGAAACCTTTATCAATCTTTATCAAACTTCAGCATGTCAGACACACGATTCCACAGAGGAGAAAAGTTAGCATTTCAGAATGGGAGTTAAAGGAAGTTAATTTCCATAATCCACATTTTTTAAGTGTTTCTTCTTTTTTTCTTTTGTGCCTGACATACTTTAAGGCAGAAGAACCACGCTGTTTTCAGTTGGTCCTGAGGAAAGTCGAGTGTAAGAGGCTGTTGTAAGAGAACATCAGACTCTTGCATCCCGAGGCTTAAACTCGCCCTTGTTGCCTTCACAGGATGGTCCCCACATCAGTGGAGCGGCTCCGGGAAGGGGGCAGCATCCCGAAGGTCCTCCGCAGCAGCGTGAGGGCGGCCCAGAAAGGAGAGCCCTCCCCCACGTGGGAGAGCAGCGCCGCAGAGAAGGACTCAGGTGAGCCATGGCTTCCTACTGCCAGCCAGGTTCAGGGTTGTGTGAGCTCAGCTCTACAGTTTGCACCAAATGCTGGGACGAGGTGAGTCCGTTTCAGATGCAGCTGGGCTCTGATCCGTGCTAGGTTGCAGCCCAGTCTTGCTCTTTGGGCTGCAGCGTTTGTAAGATCCAGCATTGCTTGCTCTCTGTCTGCTCTTTTTCCCCAAGGGATACCTTTCTGTAACTCTCATCTCTCCAAAGTCCTGGGAACCCACCTCGATGAAGGATGAAGAGAGAGGAGGAGACGGGAAGCAGATCAGGCATTTAAAACATAGCCCATAATTAACACTCCTTTTGCCCTTCTGGCATGCTGCACTCACCCGGTTTGTCGCAAGAGAGCAGCATGGGTCGGTGGTGGCATTGGTGATTGGAATGAACAATGGCCATTTTTCACTTATTCTAGAAAGCCAAGTTGATTTTTTCCTGTCACCTTACAGACGCTGCGGATTCGGAAGGCCCCGAGACGCTGGGCGCAGCACTCTCCAAAGGAGCGGCCGTGTACAGCCCTTCCCGGTACAGCTACCAGGTGAGAGGAGGGATTGCCAGTCTCGGGCTTAGTGTGTGCTCTGGGCTCCAAGTGTTTTGTGATCCCGGCCATTCTTTGCAGTTGAGATGCTGTCTTTGCATATAGTTTCAGCAGCCTTGGAAGCAAATCATCATCTGCTCACCCTCAGGTAATAAAATTATGCTGGAAAATAAATAAGATTATCAAAGACAGCCATTTTACTGCCTTTGGTGCCCTCAAAAGAACAAATGGTTAAAAAGATGAAGAGTTTGTTTAAAGTAGGGTGTTGTGAGCATTCCCAAGCCCTTGAGGGGACTGGCCTGCCTGCTCACGCTTCTCCTCCCGACTCTCCTAGCTCCTGCAGTGCGACAGCCCCCGGACAGAGCCACAGAGCCTCCTCCAGCAGAGCTCCTCCCCCTTCCGAGGACACCCCACCCAGTCTCCAGGGTACAGTTACCGGACTGCTGCCCTGAGGCCTGGAAACCCCCCCTCCCACGGCTCTTCCGAGTCGGCCCTCTCCTCGGCGCCCTACTCCAGCCCCGCCCACCCTGCGCCCACGGACTCGTCGGCCCCGTTCGCGGGGACGCCGGGGTATCACGGCAGCCAGCCACACTCTGGCAGCAGCACCGGCAGCAGCCTTCCTCGGAGGAGCTGCCCTTCGAGCGCTGCTAGCCCTACCCCACAGGGGCCCTCGGACTCGCCAGCCTCGGACTCGGTTTCCCAGTCCAGCACAGGAACTCTGAGTTCCGCCTCCTTTCCCCAGAACTCTCGGCCGTCGCTGCCGTCAGACTTACGGACTATCAGTCTGCCCGGCGCCGGGCAGGCCTCCTCCTACCAGGCCTCCAGGGTGTCTGCGGTTTCCAGTTCACAGCACCACCCGCAGCGCGGGGGTGGGAGCATGCACCAGTACCGCCTCCAGCCAGTGCAGGGCTCGGGGGTCAAATCTCAGACGGGACTTTCCTAGGGCTTCTGGACGTGGGCACAGGACTGAGCGAGCCCACAGCTGCTTCCTGCCAGCTGCCTCTGGAAGCTAGGCCGAGCATACTGCTGGGGAAGGGGTGCAACTCGCCAGAGGATCAGGTCTGGTGGACAAGAAACAAGACTTGTGGTCGAGGTTGGCCTCTGGCCTTGGAGAAAGCTGTAAATCTTGTCTGAAGCAGAGACTATAAAGAAGTTTCTCCCTGCTGTTCAGGGCACATTGTTGACAAGCAAATGGTGTTTCGGTTAGTAATGGTTCTAAGTGCAATGAGTTGTGTTGAAGCCTCCGTCTCCCATCCTTGCCTGTAGCCTGTAGTCACTTGTGCAGTGAGGACATCTTTTTAAATTTAAAAAAAAAAAAAGTTTTCTTTTCAAAGGAAAAAAAAATTTAAAAGAGCCAATTTCGAACCCCCAAGCCATCTGCGTAGTAGTGGGGGTTTATGCACTTAAGAAGAAAGGTAGGTATCTAAATGTTCACCCCAAGAGAACCATTCCAAAAGCAGATATCTGGCCAAGGTGTTTCCACCAAAAATACTCCCTACCTTTGTCTTAAAATCACCGAGAATTACACGGGATGGTAAAGCGTGGAACTGCTCTGGCTGAGGGGTGCCCGGCTCTCTGAAGAGGAGCTCACGGTGGGTTTTTGGTGATCCGGGAGCAGACTGTCCCCGCTGTGACCACCGTGCTCCTCCTTCCCCAGACATCTCACAGCCCGGCGATGCGTGAGGCAGACGAGCGAGGGAAGAGCAGTGAGCTAGGCCAGCTGCATTGCTTGCTTACCGGCTTCTGGCAGTAAGTCTGACCAGGAAGGATACCGAGGGGTTTGGGAATGCTTTGGATTTTCTTGCTTCTACACCCTGTTAATCGGGAGTTGAGGAGCCCGTGAGCAGGACCGCCCCCCATCACCGGGGAGCACGCACTCGTGACGGCAGGGTAGGCGTGGGCAAGCGGGTGTGGAGTGGCACCGACAGGGCTGTGATTGTGTGGGGGCCCACCCCACGGTTCTCTGGGGGGTGGCTGCGTGAGGGGGGCCCGGCGTGAGAGACGAGAGCAGACTGGCTTGTCCCCATCAGTGCATTGTGCCTGCTGTGCCTCCCTGGCGGGCCGGCGCCCCAGGTGGGGCACACAATCTTTTTAAATTCCATACGGTTGCCAGCTTATTTCTTTCACTTGTTTACTGTAATATCTGGCGTGTTTTTATTTATCTAATTTTGTATTCAGTTATAACCATGGTAGGGTAGTGATTATATGACAGGTGTAACCCTGGTGCTGCAGTGGACCTTCTTTTCTTTTGGACAAGATAATACTGTGAGTCTCCCTCCTTCCTCACTTCTGATTCGTTTTCTCCTCCTTTTTTTCCCTCCAGCCTCTTGCATCCCCTTCTTCTCCACCCTGTCCTACAACTATCATATGCACAGTCTTCTCTCTTTGTGTGTGACTGTTACAAAATTTCACTTTTCAAAATTGAAATCAGGTGTTTGCTCAAATGAGGGGAGGTGTTCTTTTTTTGTTTTTTTTTAAATGCTGAGACCTCAGCAGAGTACTTTTCTTTTCATCGTTTCCCCGACAAACCCGTCAGTCTGGGAGAGCCCTGGGAGTGGAAATCATGTTGCCTGGGATGCTGGTTTCTTTGTATATTATATAAAACGTATGTAAATGTCTCTCCATTCGGGCTGGGGTTTGCATTCTCCCCTTGGCTCTCAACCTGGGGGAGAAGCCAGCGGGCAGGCGGCCCTCACCCTGCCTGGCACGTGCAGAGACCCCAGCCACTCTGTGTGGGCAGGGTGCTGTCAAGACCAGACCTCTGGGGGGGGGGCGGGGGGGGGGACTCTTGGAAGGGAGGAAGCATCACTTCTTTCTCAAGTGGAGTGTTTACACCTTGCTGTAACATTTGAACTTTCACAAGAGATGTAATAATTTTGATAATAAAATTCTTAACCATAATAATGATAAAGTTGAGAACTTCTTTGTCCGATTCTGTGACCTTACCTTGCCTGGTTTTCCTAATGCTATCCTTACCTGCAAAGGGCAAGGTGGACCCACATGCCTCTTGGTAGAGGTTTTTCTTTTGCCCGTAATGGGACCAAGAACGCTGATTAAGTTTCCTTCAGCCTTTTATGATTGAAGTCAGGCCAGCATTAAGGCAAGTCTGCAACAGTGGAATTAAATGTTAAAAACTGACCTTGGTCTCATTCATTCAGCAACTGTTACTGGTCTTTTTATTGAGAAACAGTGGAAGACATTGTTTCTGATGTTGGGCTTGTGCTGATGAGAACAGTGGTCGTGAGTGGGCAGCACAAGGCCTCCTCCGTCACGGAGTTTACACTGGAGTGGGGGAGAAAGACCTAAACGAGTGCACGGTTTCAAATAGTCACGTTAACTGTTTCCTAGCACACACATGACTAGCGTGGCTGAAGGGGCCATGCCAGGCTAGTTAGGAAATGTCTCTGGGGTGTGTAAGCTGAAACCTCAGTGGTAAGAAGGCAGGCAGGCCTAGGACAAGTGAAGGTCATTCCCGGGCAGTGCAGACTGAGGCAGAAAAAGCTTGGTTGAGATGTGGTGAATGGGTGGGGCCTCGGAAGGGGGTAGAAGATGCTGTAAGAGAGGGAGATAGGGGTCAGATTAAATAGAGGAGGGGTCAGCAAACTCTAAATGGCCTAGACAGTAAATGTGTAGGTATTGCAAGCCATACTGCCTGTGTTACAATCATCAACTCTTCCGTTGCACTACAAAGACGGCCACAGGCGGCATGTGGCTATGTTCCAATAAAACTTTTATTTACAGAAACAAGGCCAGGCACAGTGGCTCACACCTGTAATCCTAGCTCTCTGGGAGGCCGAGGCGGGAGGATTGCTCAAGGTCAGCCAGCCTGAGCAAGAGCAAGACCCCCCTCTCTACTATAAATAGAAATTAATTGGCCAGCTAATATATAGAGAAAAAATTAGCCAGGTGTGGTGGCGCATGCCTGTGGTCCCAGCTACTTGGGAGGCTGAGGCAGGAGGATCACTTGAGCCCAGGAGTTTGAGGTTGCTGTGAGCTAGGCTGACGCCACGGCACTCACTCTAGCCCTGTCTCAAAAAAAAAAAGCAGCAGGGAGTGTGGGTGATATAAAGTGTCTCTTTATTTGAATGTCATTCCCACCTGCACTGAAGCTCACAGTCAGCAGCAGCAGAAGGGGCTCAAGGACCAAAATAAATGTTACCCAGTCGGACAGCGAACACGGAGGACACATTCAGACAGAACTCACTGACGGGCGAGGACAACATGGAGTTGTTCCCTGATGTCACACAGCACGGGCCCTGTTTGCTGCTGGGTTAACTCTGGTCCCATGGGGCTTCCCATGGCGCTTGCTGCGAGCCACAGGGCCCTGGAGGCTTCCCATGCCGGGAAGGTTCCCGGCTTCTCCAGGGAGGGGTTTCCCTTCTCAGTTCACACTGGGAGCTGGGGGAGGGGGGCGCCCAAGTGCGGGGCAGGACTCTCAGAGGGCCGGGGCTCTCTCCTCACCCACCTCCCGGGAGAGCCCTTCTCCCCCCGAGTCCCCCCCCCCAGAGTCGCCGTTTCCACATCCCTGGGGCTCAGAGGGACGGGACCCCCCCATCACCGTGGGCCAGAGGCTGAGCCACCTCTAGCTTGTCACCGCTGGGCCTCCCTGGGGTCCCCAGAGCAGGACAGAGAAGCTGACTGTGCCAGGCTGCCAGGCCCGGTCCCAGCCGGGGAGGAGGACACCTTTCAGGGCCCTAAAGCCAGAAGGCTCTAGCTCAGGAAGCCTTTGTGGGGTGACACAGACTGGGGAGCCCCTCTGCTGGCCTCCTGAAGGCTAAAGCCTCCTTGCATGCCTCCGGCAAAGGCAAACCATAAAGCCAGCCCCCTTCCCGAGACCGGGAAGGAACCTGCCACCGGCTCTGTGTCTGCCTCCGAGGAGCCCTCCTGGGGCCAGGGCCATGGCTTGGCCCCCCACCCGGTGTCACTCGGGAGCCCCAGACTTCAGCCCACCCTCCTCTGCTCTCCTTCGCCCAGACTCCCCGGAGACCGCTAGGGCAGCGGCCGGCAGGGTGGACGCTGGCATGGAAATGTCGCCAGAGGCCCCTTCTCTGCACCCGGCCCCACCCCAGCCCCCACAGAAGCGCGGGCCTCGCTGACTGGGCCCCGGGGCCGCCAGCCTGTGGCCTCTGAAGCTGTCAGTGCTGACCTGCACTGGGCCGGGGCTGGAGGCCCCATGGTGGGTGGCAGGAGTCCTGGGGGGCCAGCACTCTGTCTCCTTCCTCCAACTCCTCCTCTGCCTCCCCCTCCCCCTCCCCTGCATCTCAGCCAGCGCCTTCGACCCACCTCTCCATCCCCCTCTTGTCCTAGCTGGTCCCCACCCCCATCGCTCCTTGCTCCTCTCTGACCTGTCTTCCTCCCTCCTCCTCCTCCTCCTCCTGCATCCTTCCTCCTCTTCCTCCTCCTGTATCCCTCCTCCTGCATCCCTCCTCCTCCATCCCTCCTCCTCCTCCATCCCTCCCCCTCCTCCATCCCTCCTCCTCCATCCCTCTTCCTCCTCCTGCATCCCTCCTCCTCCCTCCCTCCTCCTCCATCCCTCTTCCTCCCCCTCATCCATCCCTCCTCCTCCTGCATCCCTCCTCCTCCTGCATCCCTCCTCCTCCTCCATCCTTCCTCCTCCTCCATTCCTCTTCCTCCTCCTCCTCCATCCCTCCTCTCCCTCTTCCTCCTCCTCCATCCCTCCTCCTCCATCCCTCTTCCTCCTCCTCCATCCCTCCATCCCTCTTCCTCCTCTATCCCTCCTCCTCCATCCCTCTTCCTCCTGCATCCCTCCTCCTCCTCCTCCTGCATCCCTCCTCCTCCTCCATCCCTCCTCCTCCTCCTCCATTCCTCTTCCTCCTCCTCCTCCATCCCTCCTCTCCATCCCTCTTCCTCCTCCTCCATCCCTCCTCCTCCATCCCTCTTCCTCCTCCTCCATCCCTCCATCCCTCTTCCTCCTCCTCCATCCCTCTTCCTCCTGCATCCCTCCTCCTCCTCCTCCTGCATCCCTCCTCCTCCTCCATCCCTCCTCCTCCTCCATCCCTTCTCCTCCTCCATTGTCCTCCTCCTGCATCCCTCCTCCTCTTGCATCCCTCCTCCTTCTGCATCCCTCCTCCCTCCCTTCTCCATCCCTCCTCTTCCTCCCCCATCCCCCCTCCTCCCTCCCCTCCTCCTACTGCATCCCTCCTTCTCCATCCCTCTTCCTCCTCCTCCATCCCTCCTCCTCCTCCTCCTGCATCATCCTCCTGCATCCCTCCTCCTCCATCCCTCCTCTATTCCTCCTCCTTCTCTATCCCTCCTCCTCCATCCTCCTCCTCCTGCATTCCTCCTCCCTCCCTCCTCCTCCTGCATCCCTCCTTCTACTCTTGCATCCTTCCTCCTCCTCCTCCATCCCTCCTCCTACTCCTGCATCCCTCCTCCTCCTGCATCCCTCCTCCATCCCTCCATCTCCTCCTCCTCCCGCATCCCTCCTCCTCCTCTTCCATCCCTCCTCCTCCTCCTCCTCTTCCTGTCTCCATGCTCCCTGCCCCCACCCCTGCTCTTCCTCCCGGTGCCCCCCACGAAGCCACCCTCGCCCCCCGGGTTGACTGGGGCCCCGCTGTCCTGGGGGCAGGCAGGTGCTCCCAGGCGGGGCGGACTCCTACCGGGCCGCGTCTGGCTCTGGGGAGGGTCCAGGTGGGGATGCGGGCCGAGGGCTCCTGGGGTCTCTCTCGGAAGCCACAGCTCCCAGGTGCACATCCTACGTCCCACAGAAGGGACACCAGGTGCGCCGGTGCCTGCCCTGCAGCCAGACCAGAGTGACACCACGCTCCTGCCCCAGCTTCACCCCGACCCAGGTGGGGACTCCAGGGCTCCTCGGCTTTGCTGCCAGGTCCACAAGGAAATGAGGAGTTTCAAAAAAACACGTGGAGTTTCCCCGAGTGCCCCTTGCCGGGGAGGGGGGCAGGGGGAGACACCCCCACAGTGGGGGGAGAGAAGACCTCACCTGCCCTCCCCCTGCACACTCACGCACGCACACACACGCTCATGCCTCGGCTGCAAGCACTGGCCCTCGGGCGCAGACCCCGCACATATCGCAAGGCGAGAGGTGGGTGAGGAGGAGGAGGAGGCAGGGAGGGACAAGTGACAAGGCCTGGGCGTGGGGACAGGGGTACCCTGTTCAGAGGTGATCTGCAAGTTCAAGTTATGCAGAAAAGTATCAAAGAGGCAAGACAGTCTCCACCGGTGGCAGATGCCCGGCGTGTGGGGGCCGTGGGGAGGGGCAGAAGGGGTGATGCGCCCCCCAATTCCCCACCTTTGGGGGTCCCATCCCCACCCCCCAACCCTGACAATGGGGCCCGCAAGTCTGTGCTGTACAAAACAGGCCAGGGTGGAGGGTCCAGTCGCCGGAGAGACGTCCCGGCGGAGAGGGGCCAGGCTGGCCTGGGCGGAGCAGTCCCCAGCTCCGGCTGCCTCTCGGCCACCCCAGAGCCTGGAAGTCCTTGCTCAGGCCCTGGGGGGGTCAGGCCCCCGTCTGCAGCTGGCCGGGCAGCCTGTGCTTGCTCCCGTCGGTGCAGCTCAGAGTCCTGGGAGAGCTGGGGGCAGGCCCGGCCGGGGCAGAGAAGGCCCCCAGGGAGACCGGGGGCACCTGGAGCTTTGTGGCAGATCATCGGCAAAAAAAAAAAAGTAGGAAAGAGTTGGGCCCATCCTGGGGCAGTATCTAGAATAAATTTCTGGAGGAGGCAGGAACCAGAGGAGGCCAAGGAGGACAGCCAGGCAGCAGCCCTGCAGCCCCAGGGGCTGGGAGTGAGGACCACAGGCTCCTCCCTGCCCTGGGCCGTCCAGGGCCCAGTGTGGAGGGGAGAGAAAGCCCAGGGGGCCAGGGCGTAGTGAGCTCCCTCAGGTCCGATGCAGGGAGGAGCCCCAGCCAGGCTCCCCCACGGGGCTGGAGGCCCTCTCCCCTCCCCGGGGCTGATTCTCAGCCCCGTGCCCGGTGCCCGGGCGGGCGGCGGCAGGTGAGAGGTTCAGCCTGAGATCAAGGTCTTCCCTTGGATCTTGAATAGAGGAGAGGACAGGGCAGGAAGCAGGACAAGCTGAGGTCAGGCCGATTCCTGGGCCGTGGTCCTCCTTGGCCTTCAGGGCCCCTGTGAGTGAGCCGCGGGGCAGGGGAGGACTCCCCATCCAGACACGTCGCCCCCTGGCCGCAACACGGAGCTTACTGTGGAGCCCACAAAATCTGAGAGAGAGAGAGAGAATTGCAGAGTCAGAGACCTCCGGGCGTCCGGGCTCCCTTCGCACTTCCCCAGGGCTCGGTGGGCAGCGGTGTGGGCTACACGAGCTCAGACATCCCAGCCCAGCCTCCGCCCCCAGGGCGGTCTTGAGGAAGCCATTCCACCTCCCCAGCCTCAGCGTCCTCATCTGTAACAGGGGACGGCCACTTCTCACAGGGAAATTCTGAAGGGTCGAAAAGAAACAAATCGGCCGGGCAGGGTGGGAGGCTTGCACCTGTCATCCTAGCACTCTGGGAGGCCCAGGCGGGAGGATTGCTAGAGGTCAGGAGTTCGAAACCAGCCTGTGCAAGAGGGAGACCCCGTCTCTACTATAACTAGAAAGAAATTAATTGGCCAACTAATATACATAGAAAAAATTAGCCGGGCATGGTGGCGCGTGCCTGTAGCCCCAGCTACTCGGGAGGCTGAGGCAGGAGGATCGCTTGAGCCCAGGAGTTGGAGGTTGCTGTGAGCGAGGCTGCTGTCACGGCACTCACTCTAGCCCGGGCAACAGAGTGAGACTCTGTCTCAATAAAAAAAAAAATGAGAGAGAGACAAATCAAGTCAACCAAGGACTTGGCACGGCTGTCAGCACAGAGTATATGCTGGAAATGATGCCGGTCTGTTTTATTTTATTTTATTTTTTTTGAGACAGAGTCTCGCTTTGTTGTCCAGGCTAGAGTGAGTGCCGTGGCGTCAGCCTAGCTCACAGCAACCTCTAACTCCTGGGCTCGAGCGATCCTCCTGCCTCAGCCTCCCGAGTAGCTGGGACTACAGGCATGCGCCACCATGCCCAGCTCATTTTTTTTCTATTTTTAGTTGTTTGGCTCATTTCTTTCTATTTTTAGTAGAGACGGGGTCTCTCTCTTGCTCCGACTGGTTTCGAACTCCTGACCTCAAGAAATCCTCCCGTCTAGGCCTCCCAGAGTGCTGGGATGACAGGCGTGAGGGCGCCCAGCCAGCACCACCTGTTGGCACTGAGTTGTCGAGTGGCTGTAGCGAGAGTGGGAAGGACGGGGCGGCAGTCGTAGTCTTGCACTTCCGGAAGCTGCCACCGGAGGGCAGGCGCTGCCCTCACACCAAGAGCACAGAAACCCGCGGGGCTGCGGGCTCGATGGGAAGCGGCCCCTCAGTATAGTTAGCAGGCCCGCATCCCAGGGGGAGCAAAAGCCACAAGAAATCTCTGGCCTCATGAGTCTAAGACGGGCAGCACAACAGTGAGGAGGAGCTTGGGCTTTGGACGTGGACCTGGCTTAAAATCCTGCCTGCATCACACCTTGTGGCAAGTTACTGGAGCTCTCAGAACCTGGACTTTCCTTTTTTTTCGAGACAGAGTCTCACTCTGCCACGGGCTAGAGTGCCATGTGTGGCGTCAGCCCAGCTCACAGCAACCTCAAACTCCTGGGCTCAAGCAATCCTCCTGCCTCAGCCTCCCGAGTAGCTGGGACTACAGGCATGCGCCACCATGCCCAGCTCATTTTTTTTCTATTTTTAGTTGTTTGGCTCATTTCTTTCTATTTTTAGTAGAGACGGGGTCTCGCTCTTGCTCAGGCTGGTTTCGAACTCCTGACCTCAAGAAATCCTCCCGTCTAGGCCTCCCAGAGTGCTGGGATGACAGGCGTGAGGGCGCCCAGCCAGCACCACCTGTTGGCACTGAGTTGTCGAGTGGCTGTAGCGAGAGTGGGAAGGACGGGGCGGCAGTCGTAGTCTTGCACTTCCGGAAGCTGCCACCGGAGGGCAGGCGCTGCCCTCACACCAAGAGCACAGAAACCCGCGGGGCTGCGGGCTCGATGGGAAGCGGCCCCTCAGTATAGTTAGCAGGCCCGCATCCCAGGGGGAGGGAAAGGGGCAGGAAATCTCTGGCCTCATGAGTCTAAGACGGGCAGCACAACAGTGAGGAGGAGCTTGGGCTTTGGACGTGGACCTGGCTTAAAATCCTGCCTGCATCACACCTTGTGGCAAGTTACTGGAGCTCTCAGAACCTGGACTTTCCTTTTTTTTCGAGACAGAGTCTCACTCTGCCACGGGCTAGAGTGCCATGTGTGGCATCAGCCTAGCTCACAGCAACCTCCAACTCCTGGGCTCAAGAGATCCTCCTGCCTCAGCCTCCCGAGTAGCTGGGACTACAGGCGTGAGCCACCACACCCGGCCTACTGGAGCTCTCCGGGGCCGGACTTGCTTTCTTACTGGTAAACTGCGGTCTCAGTGCCTGCCCGGTGGGAGGACTGACAACTGTGAGCATGCGCCGTGTGCCAGGCCCAGCGTGCTGCGTTACAGGCGCACGGCAGCCCTGGGAGGTGGCACTGCTGTTCTCACCAGCTTCATTTTAGGAAGTGCAGGACACTGACGCTCAAGGTTAAGTCATTCCTAGGCTCAGCCTGCCTCCGATGCAGACAGTCTGCCTTCGCAGTGTGAGAGCTCAACCACAGCCGTAAGCTACCTCCTGCCAATCGAGGTTACACAGCTCATTCATTACTGCCTTTAACTCCCACTGCAACGTTGTTCCCGCCTTACAGGTGAGAGACTTCAAGACGCAAATACAGGCCGGGCGCGGTGGCTCACGCCTGTAATCTTAGCACTCTGGGAGGCCGAGGCAGAAGGATCACTCAAGGTCAGGAGTTCGACACCAGCCTGAGCAAGAGCCAGACCCCGTCTCTACTGTAAATAGAAAGAAATTAATTGGCCAACTAATATATATAGAAAAAATCAGCTGGGCATGGTGGTGCATGCCTGTATCCAGCCTACCTCGATGCTGAGGCAGGAGGATCGCTTGAGCCAGGAGTTGTGAGGTTGCTGTGAGCTAGCTTGAGACACCACGGCCACTCTAGCCTGGGCAACAAAGCGAGACTCTGTCTCAAAAAAAAAAAAAAGGCCGGCGCGGTGGCTCACGCCTGTAATCTAGCACTCTGGGAGGCCGAGGCGCGGATGCTCAAGGTCAGGAGTTCACAAAACCTAGCCTGAGGCCAGACCGTTCTTACCATAAAAATAGAAAGAAATAATTGGCCAACTAATATATATAATAAAAAAATCAGCGGCATGGTGGCTCGTGCCTGTAGTCCAGCTACTCGGAGGCTGAGGCAGGAGGATTGCTTGAGCCCAGGAGTTTGAGGTTGCTATGAGCTAGGCTGATGCCATGGCACTCACTCTAGCCTGGCAACAAAGCGAGACTCTGTCTCAAAAAAAAAAAAAAAGAAAAGAAAAGAAACACTTGCACTTGTGTATGGGAAGTCACTACAGAGATGTTCACGGCAGCATTCTCAGTCATAGGCAAAACCTGGAAACCTCCCTAATAGCCCCTGAAGGGAGAATATGTAATAAACTACTCTTTCTTCCTCTTATAATGATGTGTGTTGTGTGCAGATGCATAAACAGGGGTCTGGTGACAGCAATACCCCTGAAACTCTGGCCTTATCTGTAATATTTTCTTTGCTGTGTTTTAATGCTATGTGATATATGCAGAAGTTTACATGCAATAGACAAAGTGTAAAGTACATGGGAATAAACTCCAGGAAACTCACCATTCTAGAACTATTAACTCTACTGATAATTTGCATATGCCTCACTGCCCCCAGTCCCCAGTGCTGATTTCCTCCCCTCCCATGCCAGCCACAGGTGACCAAGGCCTCATCCTATTTATCATTGCCATAAAAATACCTATAGGCCGGGCGCGGTGACTCACACCTGTCATCCCAGCACTCTGGGAGGCCGAGGCGGGAGGATCGCTCAAGGTCAGGAGTATGAGACCAGCCTGAGCAAGAGCGAGACCCCGTCTCTACTGAAAATAGAAAGAAATCAACCGGACAACTAAAAATATATAGAAAAAATGAGCCGGGCATGGTGGCGCACGCCTGTAGACCCAGCTACTCGGGAGGCTGAGGCAGGAGGATCGCTTGAGCCCAGGAGTTGGAGGTTGCTGTGAGCGAGGCTGAGGCCACGGCACTCACTCTAGCCCGGGCAACAGAGTGAGACTCTGTCTAAAAAAACAAACAAACAAAACAAAACAAAACAAATATATATATATATATACACACACATATCTCACTCTGTCATCTTCTGGAACTTGACTGTTTTTCCCTCTTCTCCGCGTTCCGCTGTGAAGACGCAGCCGCGCTGTTACAGTCAACTGAGGTGCGTTCATGCTCACAGTTGCAAACTGCTCTTGTGATGTGAGCATACTGCCACCGTGCATTTATCCTCCCTCCCACCCGGAGGCCATTCAGGTTGTCTGCAGTGGTTTTCCGCAGTGAGCCTGCTTCCGCCGCACGTTCACTCACTTCCTGCGAGCGCGCGCGCCAGGGCGAGCTTGCTGGTCACAGGCACGCGCAGAATGAGGGAGAGTGTCAAACTGTTTAAAAGGTGGTTGTACTGTCTGTCTTACGGTGTCTGATTTTTGACATTTTTCTTTTTCTTTCTTTTTTTTGTTTCCCCAGAGACAAAGTCTCACTCTGTCACCCAGGCTAGAGTGCTGTGGCGTCAGCCTAGCTCACGGCAGCCTCCAACTCCTGGGCTCAAGCGATCCTCCTGCCTCAGCCTCCCGAGTAGCTGGGACTACAGGCATGCGCCACCATGCCCGGCTAATTTTTCTATATATATTAGTTGGCCAATTAATTTCTTTCTATTTTCAGTAGAGACGGGGTCTCGCTCTTGCTCAGGCTGATCTCCAACTCCTGACCTCCAGCGATCCTCCCGCCTCAGCCTCCCAGAGTGCTAGGATGACAGGTGTCAGCCACCCTGCCCTGCCTGGCCAGGTGTCCTATCTCTGTGTCACTGTAACGACTTTTGTGCCTTTGAAAATGTCCAGCCAGCCCCACAGGCCGCCAGCCACCCTCCGGCCCTCGGCGCCCACTCGCCTTTGTTCTCCGGCTTGAGATCCTCCTGCGGCAGGTCCGTCTGCCGGTTGCCCAGCACGAAGGCGAGGAAGGAGAGGATGAGCGCGTTGAGGATGCCGATGATGGCCAGGATGTAGGCCCAGCGCACCGAACAGTCCCCCAGGGAGTACTTCCCCGTCTTGGCCCCGCACATGTCGCGGATGGTCTCGGCGTCCCAGCCGTCAGGGAAGATCATGCAGCCCAGCACCAGGCACAGCGCTGCGGGCGCGGCCACCGCCGCGGTCGGTTGGGAAGCCAGGGAGGAAGGAAGGGAGGAAGAGGAGAGCAAGGCCCTGGCGCCCCGTGCGCGCAACCCAGCCCCGCCCGCCGGCCCCCACCCGGCAAGGGCCCCCCAAAACCTCTTCCGGGCGGAGACATAGACACACAGACATGCGAGGGCCTGCGCTGGGCCTCCCAGCTCCAGCAACAGAAACTTCTGGACCCTCCATGCCTCTGTCTCCACCTTCAAACCAACGCTGCCGCCTCCTCCTCCCGGAAGCCCTGCAGGATATGGGAGAAGACGGCACAGCACAACCCCGGCCTTCAGCTTCCTCTGTCTCCCTGTCTTTCATCTCAGCCCGTCCTCACCTAATGGTCTGGCCCGGTTGCTTCCCTTCTCTTGGAAGCGCGGGACGAGGACTGGCCGGATGCGCACGGTGAGCACTGCGCTTGGAGCGCTGGGTGCCAGCCCGGCCCTTCCCCGCGCTCAGGCCGCTCCTGAACCCCGCTGGGCCCGCATCTGTGCGGTGAACCCCACAGTACTTACCTGGTGGGGAGGAACCAGGAGGCACGGAGGAGGTTCTGCGTGCCAGGCACTGGCCCTGTGTGTGCTCGTGAGTGGGCAGGTGCACCTGGATTCTAGCCTCAGGGAGCTGGGGGGGGCAGGTACATGATAGCATTAAGAAGGCTGGCCCTCCTCGATTTTCTAGATGTGCCACTCTGAACAAATTCCTTCGACTTTGAGCCTCAGTTTCCTCATCTGTAAAATGGGAACAGTGGTGGCACCCTCTAGCTGTGGGAGAGGATTGCAGAGGCCACGAAGGTAAAGTGCTTGGCACAGTTAAGTCCCGGACCAATCTTGGCTGACAGTGTCAATACGAGTCATAAGGAGAAAAATAATAATTACACAGATAAGAAAATAAAGAGGGGACCGGGGCACGGTGGCTCATGCCTGTAATCCCAGCACTCTGGGAAGCCAAGGCAGGAGGATCGCTGGAGGTCAGGAGTTTGAGACCAGCCTGAGCAAGAGCGAGACCCCATCTCTACTAAAAAATAGAAAGAAATTAGTGGGACAACTAAAAATATATAGAAAAAATTAGCCGGGCATGGTGGCGCATGCCTGTAGTCCCAGCTACTCGGGAGGCTGAGGCAGGAGGATCGCTTGAGCCCAGGAGTTTGAGGTTGCTGTGAGCGAGGCTGACACCACGGCACTCACTCTAGCCTGGGCAACAAAGTGAGACTCTGTCTCAAAAAATATATATGTGTGTGTGTGTGTGTGTGTGTGTGTGTGTGTGTGTGTGTACGGTGTTTGGGTATTTTTTCTGCCTTCTTTCAGAATTTTTTCATTATCTTGGATTTTCTCTAATTTGAATATGATATACCTAGGTGTAGGTTCTGTTCTGTTTTGTCTTTTGATATTTACCCTGCTTGTTCTCTGAGCTTCCTGGATCTGTGGTTTTGTGTCTGACATTAATTTGGGGGAAATTCTCCAGTTTTTTTTTTTGTTTGTTTGTTTTTTTTGAGACAGGGCCTCACTCTGTCACCCAGGGCTAGACTCTAGTATGGTGGCATCATCATAGCTACATGGTGTGCCACCATGCTCGGCCTTTCAGTTATTATTGTTTCAAATATTTCTTCTGCTCCTTCTTTCTTCTCCTTCTGGTATTCTAAATACCATATGTTCTACCTTTTGTTTAGCTGTCCCTCAGTTCTTGAATATTCTGTTTTGTTTTGTTTGTTTCTTTTTTTCCCCCCTCTTTTTCTCTTTGCTGTTCAGTTTTGCAGGTTTCTATTGAGATATCCTCAAACCCAAAGATCCTTACTTCAGCCCTGCCCAGTCTACTAAAAAGACCATCACAGGCATTCAGAGGCATTCTTCATTTCTGTTACACTGTTTTTGATCTCTAGCATTTATTTTTTGGTTCTCCCTATGAATTTGATCTCTTTGTTTACACTACCCATCTGTTCTTTTTTTTCTTTGTTTTTGACACAGAGTCTCACTCTGTTGCCCAGGCTAGAGTGCCGTTGTGTCAGCCTACCTCACAGCAACGTCAAACTCCTGGGCTCAAGCAATCCTCCTGCCTCAGCCTCCCCAGTAGCTGGGACTACAGGCATGCACCACCATGCCTAGCTAATGTTTTCTATATATTTTTAATTGGCCAATTAATTGATTTCTATTTACAGTAGAGACGGGGTCTCGCTCTTGCTCAGGCTGGTTTTGAACTCCTGACCTTGAGCAATCCGCCCGCCTCGGCCTCCCAGAGTGCTAGGATAACAGGCGTGAGCCACCACGCCCGGCCTGTAGCTGACTCCTTCCAACGGGCCTGCCGGACTGGAGTAGGAGGAAGACTTTTCACCAATAACTTGTCACACCTGTTGAATTCAGAGCCGTGTGAATAAATCACCTTTGGAAACTGTAATGTGGGTGGAAGTGACTGCTAGTGAGTGAGTATGGCAAGAGATTTTCATTCACCTGGAATGAAATAATTAAAGCAGCAAAGAATGGCAACACACAGCCCAAATGTAACCCACGGAAACAGTGGATTCATCTCAACAGCTGAAAAACGAAGTCTTTAAAGCCCTTTTGACTGTGCTTGCCAATTTCAAGGAATTTATCCTACAAAAATGCATGTGGACACACGCTAAGATTTAGCCATGAAGATGTCTGCCACATTGTTATTTGTAAGACAGAGAAAGAGAGACAGGAGAGAGGAAGAAGAAAAGGAGGAGGAAGAAGAGGGAAAGAAGAGAGGCAAGAGGAGGAAACATAATCAAGGGAGGGAAGAAAGAAAAAACCACCTCAACCCCACCCATACAGGAATATGGCACTGTCACACCCTGCAATGCAACTCAGCTATTAACAGTGTATCGAGGCCGGGCGCAGTGGCTCACACCTGTCATCCCAGCACTCTGGGAGGTCAAGGAGGGAGGATCACTCAAGGTCAGGAGGAGTTCGAGGCCAGCCTGGGCAAGAGCGAGACCCCGTCTCTACTAAAAATAGAAAGAAATTAATTGGACAACTAAAAATATATAGAAAAAATTAGCTGAGCATGGTGGCGCATGCCTGTAGTCCCAGCTACTTGGGAGGCTGAGGCAGGAGGATCGCTTGAGCCCAGGAGTTGGAGGTTGCTGTGAGCTGGGCTGACGTCACAAAACTTACTCTAGCCTGGGCAACAGAGTAAGACTCTGTCAAAAAAAAAGAAGTGCATACGTGAATGTTCACAGCATTATTCATAATAGCCAAAGGTAGAAACAACCTAAATTTCCTCCAACCAATGAATGGATAAACAAATATCCACAGCACATACAATGGAATATTATTTGGCCACCAAAAGGAAAGAAGTATCAATCCATGCTGTAACGTAGATGAACCTTGAGAACAGTGTGCTACGTGAAAGCCATCAGTCACAAAAGACCACATACTATATGGCCCCGCTTTTTTTTTCTATTTTTTTTTTTTTTTTTGGAGACAGCGTCTCGCTCTGTTGTCCAGGCTAGAGTGAGCGCTGTGGCGTGAGCCTCGCTCACAGCAACCTCACACTCCTGGGCTCAAGCGATACAGACATGCGCCACCATGCCCGACTAATTTTTTTTTCTGTATATATATTAGTTGGCCAATTTATTTATTTCTATTTATAGTAGAGACGGGGTCTCGCTCTTGCTCAGGCTGGTTTTGAACTCATGACCCCGAGCGATCCTCCCACCTCGGCTTCCCAGAGTGCTAGGATGACAGGCGTGAGCCACCGCGCCCGGCCATATATGGCCCTGTTTATGTGAAATATCCAGAATAGGCTCATAGAGAGAGACAGAAAGAAAATTAGTGGTTGCTTAGGTGCTGGGGAGGAGGCGGGGCAGAGGTCAGGGGGTGAGAGCTAAAGGGTAGATCGTTTCTTCTTGATATATAAACAAAATGATATATAGTGATATATAAGTGATATATAAACAAAATGTGGTATATCCACAGCACATACAATGGGATACTACTTGGCCACAAAAAGGAAAGAAGTATCGATCCATGCTGTGACGCAGATGAACTTAAAGGATGAACCTTTAGACCCCAACGTTCATTGTAGTGACGGTCGCACAACTCTGAGAATTTACTGAGAACCATTACATAGTTCACTGCACATGGATGAACTGTATTACATATGAATTCAATCTCCACGAAGTTGTCACACCAAAAAGGGGGTGGGCAGTGCGGTTTCCCTCTCTCTCCACCTCGCTCCCCGCCAGCCCCTCTCTCTTTCTGTTATCACTCACTCTGAAGTCTGCTGCCAGCGCTCACATGAATGTGCTTAGACGTGGACCCTCCAGCCCTGGCTGAGGTTTGTTTTTTTTTTTTTTTTTGGAGACAGAGTCTCGCTTTGTTGCCCTGGCTAGAGTGAGTGCCGTGGCGTCAGCCTCGCTCACAGCAACCTCACACTCCTGGGCTCTAGCGATCCTCCTGCCTCAGCCTCCCGAGTAGCTGGGACTACAGGCATGCGCCACCATGCCCGGCTAATTTTTTCATATATTTTTAGTTAGCCAATTAATTTCTTTCTATTTATAGTAGAGACGGGGTCTCGCTCTTGCTCAGGCTGGTTCGAACTCCTGACCTCGAGCGATCCTCCTGCCTCGGCCTCCCAGAGTGCTGGGATGACAGGCGTGAGCCGCCGCGCCCGGCCCCGGCTGAGGCTGCAACTTCAGGAGAGACCCTGGGCCAGAGCTGCCCGCCCATCTAAGTTGCTGCTCCCACATCCCTGCGACTCACAGAAAAGAGAGAACAAATGCTTCTCGCTTTCGCCCACTAAACTTTAGGGTAATTTGTTATGCGGCAATAGATAACTAACACACCATTCATGTAGAAAAGTTGTTTGCATTTGCTTGTGTATCTATGGGCTTTTCTTGAAAAGGGTACTCAATAAACTGGTCACCGTGGTTGCCTCCGGGAGAAACAAGTGGAGGAACTAGGCTAGGAAGGAGGCTTATGTCTATATATGCTTTTTGCCTTCTGAATTTTG